CGGTGGCATGAGCAGACAGATTGCGCTTTCGAAGCCATTAAAGCTTCGGATGTGTTTTTTTCTGAGGCGCCAGGGTCAAAGTTGGTGTGCTAATTACTGTTGAACGACCTACTGCTTTTGGCAAAAACCAAGGGACATAAAAGTCTTAACAGTAGTGAACTGACATCTTTTTTAGTGAATGATACCAAGATTAGATTAATAATTACGCATCGCCCGCGTCTCCGTGCCCTTTGTAGTTTTGTAGGTCGTGCATGTTGTCCGCTCATGATGTATACACACCATACCTTGGTAGGAAGTGCAAGAGAGGGAAAAGATATAGGTCTCAACAGCGATGGCAGATCGACGGGGTGTCGCCCGCAGAGGGCCCGGCGGGGGAGGCAAAAAGTGATGGAGCCGTTCGCCGCTGCCGGAGCGGAAGCCGATGGCAGTGACAACATCGGAGGTGCAACGTACGTGCAACGGATTGGGATTGGAACTTGTTGTAATGGATAATATTCTTAGGTGCTTTTCGACTTTTTGCTTCATTTTCAATTTCAATCCTTTTTTAGCGTTAGAAAAGGCCAAATTATCCGGCGTCGTTCATTGATAACCCAACATATTAGTCTAACTAATGGATTTATTATCGCTGTGAAACCTGTTTTCAGTAATCAACTCACTTTTTTAGGTGAGCTCAGGGGAAGTCGATGGCCGCCAAAAATACTATTAAAACATAAGGGTTTGTTTTGGACCTTAAATTTTCGTTCTGATCAACCATGGCCCTCACAATCTGGTCGAATATCCGAAAGACTAATATAAAGGTTAGAAATTTTGAACAAGAATGTCCACCGAGCGCATGCGTGTGTACATATGATGATTCTAGTAACCCTAGGGTTGATTATAGTTATAAGTTGGGGTATTAAGAGATTTCTATCTCAAGAATCGGAGATAATCTGTTCAAATCTCATCAATTACGTGCATATTGCAGCCTTCAAGACCACTTGCACCGATTAAAGGTTTGAATCTAACGATTCATAAGATTTGTGGAGTGTTTTATGAATTTCCAGATAGCCGGGTCTCTATGCCTGTGCTCTCGGGCTTAAAAAAAGCAAAGATGTGTTTTAAAAATAAACAAGAGTGGTGTTGTATTTTGAAGTCCTTATTAGTACGATCAAGTAGCTCTAAGATTGGCACAATTGGTTAAGATATCATGAGATTTTTGTCACATGAATTGAATGTCACCTATTCAAATCTCACAAATTGCATGCAAATTATCGTTCGCAAATTATCGTTCGCATGCAAATATAGATTTTAGTTATTTATCTTCTTCTTTTTTTGTGGCCTGAATAATTAATTTACCTGTACATATCTCATGAATGGATTAAGAAAATACCCATTTTTTTTTGTCATTTTCGGTTGCCATATAAAGCATATTGTATCGGCAAAAGACCAACGGAAAGTCCAAACGAATGAACATCTTTGGCACTATTTGCAAACACGTGCTTAAATTGGGAAATCTATATTCTATATGTGATCTATGCATCCAATTTTTTAAATAGGGAAAATGATACCGATGGTCCCTTAGTTTTGGTCTAATGTGCAATGTTGTCCATGAATTTTAATTTGTTCAATGTGGTCCCTGAATTATTGATAAATTGATCAATCTAGTCCATGAATTATATGAAAATGTTTAATGTCATCCTTATGTTAATTCAAGTTAACAGAATCTACTATGTGGCGTGCAATCCGCTAAGTTTGAATGGTAGAAAAAAAATGTTACACGTGGATTATCAACTTAAGAAACTCTCCTCAAATCAAGAAAACAAATTTCCGCGTGGAATATTGAAAGTTCCTAATTTGTTTCTTTCCTTTTCTAAAGTAGATGGATAAAATGATAAACATGCTGACTCCTCATTTTTAAAAATCCAACTCAGTATGTAATAATCCACATCATTAGATAAGGCCCGATTTGTAGTTTGAGCAAACGGAAGGACTACATTGAATATTTATCAGTAGTTCAATGACATATTAAAAGTCTGGAAATGATATTGCACATTGAGCCAAAGATCATGGACCATATTTCACGAATTAAAAGTTTATGGACGACATTACACGTTAAATCAAAGCTCAGAAATCATCGGTGCTTTTATCCCTTTTGAATAATCGACAGGCCTAAAATAATGATGCCATCCACATATGTTTCAAAGTTAACCTTTGAAAATGGATGCTCGATTCATGTAATTTCGATTCCTACAGAGTGTTTTGATCAGCAAAACAGATCCAGCCCAAGACATGATACACAAGCTTGTGTGTCAATCGCAAATTAGGCATGAATCAATCAATGGCAATCATGGCGATTCAGCTACACACCATCTTCTTGATCCGAGGTTGACCAAATCGAAAGACGTATGGACCACAATGGCAAACGTGTCGAATGCGAGAGCATCTACGGACCCGCGAGATCAACACATTTTGATGAGAACGAACGTGATAGCGACCTGCCTAGACTTTTGTCCCTTACAATCATCATGTGGATCGTGGAAATGCTGTGATGTGACGTGGGAATCCCAGATGGAATGCTGGATATTGCTATCATCGCATTCTCATCACCTCTTAGAAGTTCGCTTCTTTTCACACGAAACAATAATGCTTGGGATAATAGAAACCGAATTGCAAAACTAATTTACTGAATTAATCGGGCGGTAATTATCAAGAAACTAAATTAGCGAATGCTTTTTCAATAAAAATCGTTCCTTCTTTGTTTCACTTCCATCTTATTCTTTTTTTACGAAACAAATGCGTCCTACTAGAGTCAGGTTTTACATCGTTTCGGACCCCCGGTTAGAGTGTCCGAATAATGTGCATAAGTATTGGCCAGGCTTCCATCATGGTCAACCTCACTAATGTGGCTAGCATCAACCATTCTCTTCTTCAGACCAGCTGGTCATACTAGCCGTACGAATTAATAATCATTTTACCAACCAAAGTAAATGTTGACTTGAAAAAAATTAACCCCCGAGAAAGATTTTCTTTTTTCATGTCCACCAAAACCCACCAAATCAATAGTAAGGCACAAAGTCATTGATGGCCCACGATTGAAACTTTACAGCGTAACTAAAGAAGAAAAGGAGGACAAAAAGGAGGAATGTCCTCTTTCAATCTTCTCGTGTTCCCTTCCCCCATCTGTAAAAGGCAAATGTCTCCATGCATCCAACGGGGGAAGTCAAGGAATGTGCCCAAAAGTTAGCCAAACACCCTCCAAATTATAAGCCTAATTATGCGTTCAAACACCCACTTTTTGCCTCCCACTCAAACGAATTATCAAATCCCCTCCCTCAAGAAAAGCGAAATCCTCAACGCCCTACATTCCCCTTCCATCCAGCAAATGCGAATTTGGCGTTTTCTCCTTTAAACGACGTGTTGACTTTTGTTAAATTTTTCCAATGTGGGTGTGGGTGGATTCGAGTTGGACTTGGATTTGTTGAAGGGGGGTTATGGGGGGAAAGGGAGAGCGCAATGTTCATACACTGTCCACTGCGAGGGGACTCGATGACGTCGATATGTTCGCCACTAAAAAGCTCGAGCCTGCTTTAAGGATGCTTTCTTAGAATGAGTCGGCCTTCCCGTGATACGAACATTTCACACCATATTTTTTATGTGGCATGTATGGATATTACGAGGTGGTAACGGATTTTGGCCTCCCAAGCTTTTGCGTTTTCCCGTCCGCGTATGGAAAAAAAGATGTCCTTTTGCATTAGATTGCTTCATCGTATCAAATGTGAATTAGATGAATTGCATGGAGTTTTCAAATCAATGACTATGAATACCTATCGAAATGAATCGAGAATGTTCTTTATGCTGCAGATGGGGCATTATACGGTGGGCAGTTGAAGGAACTTGTGCCGACCGATAGAAAGTTAATTCAGTCACAAAGTTTAACTCTAGGCCCAACATTCGAGGCCCATTTGTATTAATTAGTGTAAATCCCGTCCCGCACTTGACGACGATCTTAAGTCTTACAAGTCGCCGGATTAAGAGAACAGAAATGTTAGAATTTCCAAACAAACTGCTCCTGAGCTTTTTAATCTGCTCCTAAATTAAAGTCAACTAGGACTTTACTTTGTCGGGGACTCTCCTTAATAATGAACTCTTTTCGAGGTCATGTAGCGTCTATAAGTTGGGCTGAAGTTGAGTAATATGGCTTCGTCTATGATTTGCTTAGTTTAATCAAGAATTACGTTTACATTATTAAGCGGATGTCTTGGTTTAAGAAACCAAATTAAACCTCAATAGGATCACACAAGGTCTGGAGAGTTCTGCATTCCCAAAGATCAGTGGTTCAAAATTCTCGCTATAGCAAGTATTCGTATGAAACGTGGGAACAAGAGTTTTTGCATCAAAGTTCAATGTCAGTATGGGACATTTGGCGTTGAGTAGCCAGTTTTAATCCCTCCCGGAAGAGCCCACAAGCAGAACTCTCCCCCGTTTACTCTTTAGCCAGCACCGTATGGACCGCGTATTTAGGGAGGCGTAACAATGCGCAGACCTTATGGCAAAGAAGGGGCGTCACCAACCAAGTACCCTACAGATCGCGGAAGAACCCCCGGCAGAGATTTTGCAACTTCATGGAGCTCGACCGCAGAAGCTGCTGCTCCGCTAGACGTGTAAGAATTTCCTCGTGTGGAGGCTGCTGTCCTTATCTTAGGACGCTTGTCCTCTTTGTTGGTACCCAAAACAAAAAAGAGGCAGAAAGTGTGACGCAGAAAGGGGGGAAAACCAAAAGTTAGATTGACATCATTCATCATTAATATTCCCATCACAAGATCTGGAAGAAAGAGAAATCCACTATACATAAACACAATTGTCTAGGAATGAAAGAGAAAAGAGAGGAGGATGAGATGCAGCTAACTGCCTACAGCTGCCCTTGAAACTTTGCACTCACTCTCCCGTCAAGTCTTTGAGTTTTCCATGAGATCATCGGCAGTTTTCAGCGTGTGCAGTTCCAACTTCCGAGGGAACAACAATGAAAAAGAAATGGTAGCATGAGCACCGTTTGTTCACATCTCTATTAGAAGAATATATCCAGCCTAACACATAGAACCTAAGATCGTGAGAATATACACGGCAAATTCGAGAGAGAGAACTAAAGAGCCTAAAGAAAACTGCATCAACATAAATGTGATGCCAACGATTCCATTCCTCGAGTCTCGTGGGAAGAAATGGTAAAGAGATTGGCAAATAAAATTTGCAGATTTCAAGTTAACCCCGGGCCACCAACACATCCAATTGGCCCAAACTACCTCTAGATGATGATTCCCCTTGTTTGAAAGTCTTCCTCACATTAAAACTGTAGTTATCACCTTCGTGCTTATGTTTGAGTTCTTTATAAGCTACTTTATTGAAATGCAGCAGTGTCATCATAGTAACTGCAACTAATGCAGCATTTCCCAGTACTCCACCCATAAGGGACTTCCTTGCAAAATTGAAACTGGAAATCAGAGCTTTGATCAGAATGTTAGACCTGTTTCCATGATTCACCATGCTCTGCCCAGACGAACCATTTGCGGCGCCGAATAGATTATCGCATGAAACAAAGCGACTTGCATCACAAACATCTCCAACAAAAGCTAGGGCTTCCTCAATCACTTTATATTTCTTACCCTGGTGTTCTGCCAATCTCATTGCAAGAACAATGCGGCTCTGTTCTAATCGTGCAATTGCAGCATCTCTCTCAGCACGTTGCTGTAATTGTACAGTCTGTGAAGCAGAATAAAATGACATTAATGCATCCATAGTAAATAATATTAAGCACATAAATATATGAATCCTTGTTACGATGCCTCATGAACCCTAAGACGGACCCATTCCTTCAAAAAGTACCAACTGACGCTCGTACTGTTTACCATAAATTCATCTGAATGAGAATTAATTATTGACACTTAACTCGTACAGCCTAAAACATGAGCAACTTTTGCATGATAACCAGTTTTGTTTTAGCTGCAGTAAACATAGGGAATCTCAACCAAAATTTCCACTGAATCACTCATGAAAATGGCATACAGTAGTTAACAGGAAGAAAGAAATATCTGGGCCAGACAAGCAACATGGTGTATGCAATCCTTATCCGACCAAGCGATCAATAATTTATCTTCCAATGGCTATAAGAACTATGATACATATGTAGAATTTCTCTATTACTTGTAACCAGAGGCTCTGCTAAGCCCTAGCCTCAATTCTCTGACTTGAAGCTCCTCAAAAGTTTATCAACAAGATTTTCCCGTTATTCTCTTTGCTTTACACTTACATCCACCATCTGGATTTCACTCGTTCCAATTTTTGCATGATGCATTTGCCAAAATACTTCGACAGGTCCTTACCTCCTCCATACATGACTAAAGGCTGATTCGAAAACATTTACAACTTAGCCTTCGAACTCCCTGAGTATAATCTAATTCTGGAAGTTCATCATAACATGTGCCTGAAGGGACCACCCATCTGTGATATGTTACCAAACCCATCTGTGATAACATGTGGGTCAAGTTGCCTCCATTTCAGTAAAAAACAGAAAAAGAAATGCAGAAATGCAGACAACCGTCCATCATCTTCGTTCTAAGTTCTTCCAATGAAAATTTTTTTCTGAGAACCAATTTTCTTTTGCGACTTCATTTTTCTTCCTATACTGCAGGCAAGATGGGACATCAAAACCCCATCTAATACTACAAAACCAACAGCCAAACCCTTCCCAACTAAGTAGTGTCTTATACATGGATCCTCTTACTCCATCCCCCTTTGCCCTCTATTACATCCGCCTTCATATGATCTGGCCGTGAACCCAATATTGTGTTTACGATTAGTTTTGCAACATCAATTCTCATTTCAGTGGATAATCAATGATAAGACAAATTCATCCAATATAAGTTAAAGCACATACATCAGCAAGAACTCGCCTTTGCACCTAAAGTCACAACCAACTAACAAAAAAATCAGAAAACCACACTCCATTTCATTTATAAGCTTCCAAGCAGTCTCGTTCTACTTTCCTCTAGCTATAGCAGCGACATCATATCCACTTCATTAAATCTTCATCAGCCCAAATCCCACATACTATCGTAATAGCGCGCCCGTGTTTCATACGCGATACACCTAATTTAGGCTCGAGCGCAAGCTATTCCACGGGAGTTATCACGCATGCAGACACATTTCTACCGGGGAAAAAAGAGAAAGGACCGAGATTCGAATCCGGAGACTCACATGAAAGAACTCGAGCTGGTCTTCCAGATTCTCCAGAGCCGTGCGGATGGCGTTGAGGCTCTTGGCCTCCTGCACCGCCTCATCGTAGACTCCGAACTCCTTGACGAACACGTACCCACCGGACGCCGCCCGGTTGTCCTCGGCGGCGGCGTCGGCGCCGAAGAACTGCTTCTTGTTCTGCTGCTGCAGCTGCTGCGGCGGCGGCGGCGGCGGCGGCGACGGTTGCTCCGGCTTCCGGAGGGCCCTGATGGAGCTGAGGAAGTGCGCCCGCGAAATGGAGTGGATGGCGTCGCTGAGCTTGTCGTGGAGGTCCCAGATCTTCTCCAGAACCGTCTCCACCTCATCGATCTCCATCGCTCATCGATCGAAGAGCAGACGACGAAGGGAAAATGGATCCGAATCCAAACTCTAGGGTTTTGGTTTCTCTCTCTATTTTGCCGCGCCCCTTTTTTGGTGGGGGGCGCTTTCAACGAATCTCGAATTCGAGTCGCCTGTCTGTTACGTCGTCGTCTTGGTTCGACTTGGTGTGAGAAGCGGAGGCTCCGATGTCCCGCGAAACGGCACCTTCGTATTGGGCGATTTCCACGATGGCGCTCGCTTCTCGCTCGGGAGGGACACGTGTCGCCCTCTCGCGGACTCTCCGTCGATTCGTTTTCTTTGGGGGGGAGACATTGGTAGTCTTAAATTAAATTGGTGGGAAAGTTTTAAATAAAGACTTGAAGTGTCATCAAATTTTTTTTAAAATAAGAGCATGAAGCGACTATGGCAGTTTCAAATAAGACCCTAATCTCGCCGGTCAGTTAAATATTCTAGCCGATCAAAGGTATTTTTGTCCAAAGATAATTTTACTAATCTTTTGATTTTTTTTTTCTGTTCATGATTTTTTTTTACTCTATTCTGCAAAAATTTAAACAAGCCGAAAAAATAATGAAAAATTAAAAAATAAAAACTGAAACCGAACATGCTCGTGAAAAACAAGACGTCGCTGGTGGTGGACCAACGGCAGACTGTAGCCGTTGAGACACAACTGAACCCCCACCACCGCAACCATGGAGGTTGTTGGCCTCATTTGGAGCAAATCGACCCGCAACTATGGAGGTTGTTGGCCTCAGTTGGAGTGAATCGATAGAGGTCACAACCTCCATGGTCGCGAATCTCTTTGTCACTCTAGAAAATCGAGAGAATCGAACCTAACTAAGCCCCGACGCCATGGCCATGGAGGTGGCCAGCCTCATGGAACCATAGATGTAGGGTCGCGTGAAGTGAGTGACCTTCGTGGACACTGGTTTAGGGTTGGCCGAAGCCGATGGGGTTAGATCGAAGCTCAGTGGTGTCGAATCTGATGTCCCGAGTTCAAATCCGACCTCAATGGCGTTGAATTTGACATGAGCACCCTCGCCTCAATCGCCCTCAACTCCACCATGAGTGATGATGACTCGACTCAATCTTTTTCCTTGACTCGACTTTTGATTCCTCAACTCAGTTTTCTTTGGAGAAAGATGAACAGATCGGGCTCGCCAAATCACCATTGAGGTTGAATGGCGTTTAATTTGACATGACCTCGAATCTGGCGAGGGCGACCCTCGCTAGCCCTCTCCGGACAGCCACCGGCGAAAAGGAAAAAATAAGAAAAAGAAAAAAAGGAAAAAAAATTCAAAAAAGTAAAGGACGAAAATGCCATTGACCAGCCGAAAAGGTCATGCCTTTCTTTGAGATTGACATGGCTACTTCAGGCTCTTTTTAAAACAAGGTCCACTTTATGCCATTATTTGAGAAAATGATAGCACTCCAGATTCTTATTTGGTATTTCCCTAAATTCAATAAGGGCAAAAGACACCAAAAACACTAAACTTTATCTACTGTGACACATTCATTTTAAACTTTTTTCTGTAATACCAAAAATTTCAAACTTGTACCCGTGTGATATGTTTACCCTCCGTCAAAGTTTTGTCAATGAAAACCGTTAAAAATTTACCTACATAGACACCAAAAAGCAGACGATGTTGATGTATTAGTGAAATAAAAAGGACCTTATTTTGGCTAAAAATTATCTAACGGAATCTTGACGGAGGGTAAATGTATCGCATAAGTGTAAGTTTAGGGTTTTTTATGTCACAAAAAACGTTTAAGATAAATGTATAATAGTGGGTATAGTTTGGGTTTTTAATGTTACAAAAAATTCATGATAAATATCCTTACCCAAAAAAAAAATTCATGATAAATATGTCACCGGGAGCAATGTTTTGGATTTTATTGTGGCTTTTTTCCAATTCAATATATTCTCTAAAACTTCTTTTTTGTTTAATGGGTTATCATTTTCTATTCGTTTTTTTTTTTGTTTAATCAGGAGGATAGCCTTGGTGATTTCGACTAGGCCTATCTTGTTGTCCAAACTCGTGCCGATTGAAGTAATAAATAATGCTTATTCTTTTTCACACTAGACCGGACCGGAATATGAACAGGTCGAGAGAGCATTGAGGTAGTAGAGATCTCTTATTGAAAAGCAAACTATTGTTCGACAAAAAGAGATGATGGACCACTTCAAGACGTTCATACATATATAAACATGGAAAACATAAAACTATTAAGACAACGTATGACCCCTTCTCATCGTTTCATTGAGCTTGATACATTCTTATTTCATATGTAATCACGTTTATTCTCTTAAGTATATCGATATGCATGCAGCGCCACCACTCCATGAAGAAAAGTTAAGTTCCTCCGCCGAGCTCCGATTGTCGTGCGCCCCTACATGACTGCCGACCGACCTTCCGCCTGCGCCTCCGACATCTCCATCTCGCCCTGATACACACCCTCGTCCTCCCCTGAGATCTCCTCCAACGACCTGCCTTTCGTCTCGGTCAACAGGAACGTGCAACAGAACCCTAGCATGTTTGTGAACGCCAAAAACATCATGGCGTGTTTTATTCTAGTTGTTCTTCCGCTGAGCGTGTAGCTCTGGACCCCGAAGGCCGCTACCAGTGCCCCCGCCTTACCCGCCGCTGCGCTCATGGCATGGCATGTGGACCTAACGCGCGTTGGGAACAGCTCGGCTGGGAGAACAAAAGTCGTGCTGTTAGGACCGAAATTCGCGAAGAAGAAGGTCAACGCATACAAAATCGCGAACGTGTTGTGGTTAGCAGGGTTCCTGAGGTCAGTGTAGTTGATTCCGATGATGAGCATGAATACAGACATCATGAAGAAGCCAATAAGCTGGATGTAGTAGCGACCGATCTTCTCGATGAAGAAGACTGTGAACCAATATCCCGGGAATGTCCCAAGCAAGGCAACCACAAACATGGCCTTAGAAATCTGAAACATTTCCCTAATAGCGTTGACCGTCTTTGCCGGATCTGTGAGGTTCATGTTCGGGAATATGTCCTTCTGTGCCAAGTTTTGGCTATAGAAGGCAATGTCCAACAAGAACCATGTGCTCATCGTGCCGATGAGATGCTTACCGTGCCTCCGGTTAAACTCGCTTGAGAACAGCTTGTAGTCGTTGTTCGCCTTGAATTGGCCCAACCTGTCTTGATCGGCTTGAATTTCGATATCCAGGACCCGGCCCATGTCTGCAGCGGCTTGTTTGGCGTTCCCTTCTATGAGCGCGGTGTACCGACCGGTCTCAGGCATTTTCATTCGCCAATAGTAAGTCAGTATGGCCGGTAAAGCTCCGAGCATGAGGACGATTCGCCATAAATAATCCGCTTCGGGTTGCGTAGAATACACAGGATCATCTTGAAATTTTGGGGCGCGATAGAAATGGAGGAACACTCCGGAAAGGATCATGGAAACAAACCCCGCGAAAATAATCCCGACGCCTTGCATAGCGAAAACCGCAGCTATGAAAGCGCCCCTAGTTTTCTTATTCGCGTACTCGGACATGATGGTGGCGGAGAGAGGGTAATCGCCACCAATCCCGAATCCAAGCCAGAATCTGAAGAAACAGAGCGTGCCCATGACGGATTTGGCAGTGGATCCGAAAGAAAGGCCGGAGCAAATGGCACATATGGCCATAATAGTGAGGGTGATCCCATAGACCCGTTTGCGACCGAACTTGTCACCGAGCAAACCGAAGAAAAGTTGGCCCGCTAGGGTTCCGATCAGGGCAAAACCGATTACCAGGTTGTTGACGCGAACTGGGAGTTTCCCCGGGGCTTTTGTGGCAGGATCAAAGTAATAAAGGCGACCCAAGAGCTTCGAGACCGTGGTGATGCAAAACAGGTCGTAAGCGTCCGTGAAGAAGCCCATACCTACAGTTACAGAGCCAGAAATTTCTTTCAGAAAGAGTCATTGTATATAGAATACGGCAATACATGGACAACCTTTACACAAGTTTGGAGGATCTATAATGATTCCATGGTTACGATAATCTTTTCGAACTAGGACACGTACAGACCAGCTTTCACTAGAGTCTAGAGCATGACACTTTTGTCACTAAGCATCCTAATTTCAATTGCTACTCAGCAACTGGCTTCCGCCTTCTCTACTGTTCGACTTTCAACTCAAACCCCTAGGAAAGCTTTACGACATCTCCGAGGCGGGACTGCTCGTTACGTATGCGAGGTTCAAATAAATCACAACCTCAGCACGAGTTCATTGCCAGTATACCTGCTATCACGATCGCGGTGAGGTGGTACCATTGCGTGCGAGCCGTGTCTAGAGCATGAAGAACTGCTAAATTGCGGGGAGCCATCGATATCTTCCTTCTCTCTCTCGGCTTTCGATCGATGATATGGCTCAGTTGTTGTTGGCGGTTGCCTTTGTTCTCCGGTCCGATTTATAGCAGCAGGTCACGAAGGAAAGCGACAATGGAATGATGTCTGGACGCTGGCGTTTTGGTCAATGCTTTGAGGAAACAACGAGGGCTATCGCCAAGTATATTCCATCTAAAACATTGATAGAAATCGCCATTTTCGATTCATTACTCGAGGGTTGATTAGCGAAGGCTTATGCATGCATGGTACGTGTCAAACAAAGGGGATTTGGTGTGATGTGATCATCGTAAAAGACAATCTGCTGGATTGCTGCGAAGTATAGATCGAGCCTAAGCTGCTCACGACTTTAACTAGGGTCAAAAACCTCGAAGAGTTCGGCTGAAATATCTAGCTAAGGAATATAATGATAAGCCCTTGTAGAACCTAAGTTGCAACTTTAATTAGGGCAAAATGCTTATCGAAGTTCAGGTGAAGTATTTGATTGAGATACCTTCTTATAAGCCTAGTGCAAAATTTTCAATACGAAATTTGGTGTTCTCTGTATTTCGTGATGCATTGTAACACCGAAGATCGATCGATTGTTCAAGGTCGAGTTCAGAGGCAATCGGGATCATTATCATCCCAAAGCATTGGCTTTATGCAGCTATGTCTTTGGATTGAGTAATCGAAGTACTTGTTGGGTTGCAATATTATCATCTTTTCTGAATGTTGAGAGTGATCAAACAAGCTAGTGCAATGGACAGTTGTTCAGATGTCCATTTGCATGGAAAGTTCTTCGAGTTTTTGGATTACCTGCGGGTAAAAAAAAACAAAAAGAGGAGTGAGTTTTGGAACCATACTGTCCTTTCCAGCTGTGGAAAGGCCAAGGTGTACAATGTTACAACATTGTATCACCTATTATTATTTAGGAATTCTAATCCTATCCGCTGTCGGGGTGAAATAATTCTCACAAAACCAGATTAGTAGGTGTGGATTACCTGTGTACATTAGTAGTCTTCTCTAAATTATCACATAAATAATGTTGGAGTTGGCGAATACTTCGGGGACCCTTGTTTCTCACACCGGGTACGCCCACGTGAGCTTAGAGAAACTGAAGAGTTGTCCGACGACACGTGACCCATGCGTGCGGAATGCGGGGTTCGGGGGCGCGCCCCGACACGGTGCTCCGCCCGGTCAACGGGCGGGGTTCGGGCGCGCCCCGACGGGGTTCCGTTGCCCGCTCGCCGGTGAGCGGGCGGGGGCTCGAGGCGCGCCCAAACCTCAACGGGTTTGGGCCGGCCCGTATGGTGCGAGATTAAGAGATTTCATATAGGTTTAGGTTTTAGGCCCGTTTGGGGCATATATATATTTTACTCGTTTTTCGATCATTGTAACGAGTTGAGTGGTACAAACCGAAAACATAGTGAAATCTCTTTGCGTGACGTAGCCCTAATCGAGGGTGAACCCGGTAAATTCGTGCATCGTCTATTTTCTCTGTTTTCTGCGTGATCGTTCTGTTTCGGTTTTCGATACATCCCTTCAAATAATAGTTGTACTTCTTTAATATTTTGAAAAAAATTGTTACACATGGATAATAGATTTCGCTCGCCGGCTCGTCAATCTCCCAAAATGTTCGCCGTTAATACCTCCATTTTCCCGCAAACCCTAGTAATAAATCCTACTCTTAACAATCTCACGTGATTTCCCTTACCCTTGCGTAAAAAGTAAGCACCTCAAATGAGGGTTGATAATAGAAAAGTAATCGGTAATTTAATCCGACAAAAGTTGGTAAGTCGCTCTAATTTAGATTGATAAAAACGGGTGTTCACTCGTTGGGATTAATGTTCCACGTGGCACGGGAGATCGATTTAGATGAGTAGGTCCAAGTATAACTCAACAATTTCCTGGCAATGTGTGCACGAGAATATTCACGATAAAGTGAGAATACGGAAATTTCAATGTTCTTAGTTGTCTATGCGGGTGAACTCCCCAACCTTTGGTGGCTACCCTGAAAAAGGAATATTATGCACGAAATTCCGGATTCTAGATAAAACTTAGGAACACCACATGAATTGAGTTGGCTCACGAGCTAATTCAAGGTGGATTTCTTCGCTTTTTGAAATTCAAAACGCAAACTCCAAAAAAGATAACCACCCGGGTGGCTGCTGGCTGAGCGCGCACTCTTCCTTTTCGCAAAATGTTGAGTGTTCGAATCCCGGGTGCGCGGGGGTGACTTAACCGGTGCACGTGTGTGGTGGCTAGCACGTGTCACCCCCAGGGTTTACCTCCCGGCTGTCGGCCGTGCGGGGGTTCCCTGAGTCATCAAAAAAAAAAAAAAAACTCCAAAAAGATAAGAGTCGGGTGGGTTCATTTCTAAGGAAAATTAATTCGCGGAAAATTCTTACACTCGAATAGACGACGCTTTCGAAGAAAATGGAATCGGATATGAGCGCTAACTCAAATAGCTCGCGAATCCAATCGATTAAGTATGATTGATGAACATGTGGGAAACATAAATGAGTATCATTTGAGCTTGATAAAGCTAATTGTAGTTTGATTCTCGATTGTTTGGGTTTACTTTAATTGCGCTTGAGCATTGTTTCTCTCGTACTTCTAATCAAACAAAAGCATACAGAATAATGGAGTTATGTCAACTCCAAGCATAGACTCTCGTGTTGCGTGAGCTGATTTGAGATTGGATACGAGTCTGTATCGACTTTCGTACGCTTAAACTACGCCCTCTAGCGCCGATGCAGAAGACCATCCAATTTATGAAGCGACTCAATAACTGTTTCGCAACGATTCAACAAATTCACAGCATGCTTCATTATTGAACTTGTGAGCGAGTTGGGTTGGGTTTGGGTGCAGTACCACGAGCCGAAAAAATGTGTCCAACACATCAATACAATGGACGGACTTGAATGGACCATCGAGCTGCCAAGCCCGTGAGTTAAAGCGTAGTTACTGTTAAGTTAAGCTTGACCATGCGCGGGCTTCGCATAGTGTTTTGGGCTAAACCCTTCCATCAAAGACAGAACTCATTGTTAAGGTTACCTCATCAAAATTCGTCGTCCAAAAAAAAAAATGACATCATACGGATCGTTGTCGTGTAAAAAGCAACATTTTACAATAAGCCTTTACCTATTTCGCGAAAGACGAATAATTTAAAAATTATTCTAAAAATAATTATTTATATTCATCGAAATAAATTTACGTGTGATCATTTTCTTTGACGATGAAATTTTTTTTTTCATTCGTTCATTTTTATAAACGATTAAATTAATTTTAGGATAATATTTTTTAAATTATTTATTTTTCCACGAGGAATCGCTCATACAAAAACGCAACCCCACCGCTCATTGATTTTCTCTGGATTGAAAAGAATAGAAGCGTCTTTTCCTAGTCAAGAATTGAATTTTCCTGACCCGTCTAAAATGGAAAAATAAAAAAAAATAAAATCCCAGAAAATTTCCCCCGCACAAAATAAAAAAAAAAGGAAAACGCAATCTTTATTAGCCCAACCGCGAATAAGAATTATTAATTTATTCGCCTCGCCTGCCTAAAATGGAAAGCAAATTAAAATTCCGAAAATCATGCCCCTCATAATAATTTCTCCGGTCAAAAAAAGGCAAAAGATATCTCGATCAATGGAAATAAAAACGGAGAATACTCCCAAATCCAAAGTTATGCCCATAGCCACACCGATACTTCAAACTTCTTTTTTTGAAAACACTAAGACTTGCATCGGCGTGACTAAAATATTCTCGGTCTATCTATACCTCAAAACTTGTATCGGTGTGACAAAAGTTCGAATTACTGATATGACGGCGGAACCACCGATGGGTGTTGGCGACACAAAAAAATTGAAGTATTTTTGTCTTGATGAGTATAATTTATGTATTTTTTTTCAGTTTAAATATCGCGGGGTAAGCATAATTTATGAATTTTGGCGGTATTAATCCAAACAGAAATCAACTCACCCTTCCACAAAAAAGGTGGAGGAAAATAATAAAATGAAAATGCCAGCTGGCAAAAGGCCCCGCGAATCTCGGCGAGCCTCACGCACCGCTGAAAGACCTAGAAGAAGCAACTCAAGAAAAAAAGGGCCGCACAAAAAAACCGAAAAAATAAAAATAAAAATAAATGAATAAAAACGGACACATGAATACGTAAATTCATGAAATCGTGCCTGCCCCGCTTTTGAGGAGGCTAGAGTTTTTCTCCGTAATTCGTCTCCACCAAAATCGGCCTCCCCTTGCCGCTTCGACCGGTGTTTTCAATCAGTGGTCGTCGCCGCTGAGGGATCCATCACCACTGGAATTCCCGCCGCCGCCTCCGCCATTTATCGCCCGATGGAACAGTGAAGCTCTTCGTGTCTATTTCGTCATCGCCGTCGTCATCGGTCAGTCGCTTTCGCTGCCGTCGTCAGAGGTGCGCGCTCTTTTCCCTGTTCTCCAAGGAATTTGGGGTTGGACTTGGGAAATGCATTCCGCGGACGGCCTTTGAAAAATGGGCTGCGTTGATTTTTTTTTTGTGTTCTTGCTTTTGATTGGTCGCGTCAAAACGTTGGAAGGGGGGCACGTTCCAAGGTTTCGGAGGAGTTTGAGGGTTTTGGTTTGCTTTGAACCCCAGCGGCCGCTTGAATCGACCGAGGAAGGTGAGATGATGCTAGAACGAGTTGAATCGGTTATAGCTCTCTCTGTTTCTTGTTTGTCCCCCCTTAGTGCTAGTGCATTGAGACGGACCAATTTGGTGTTAGTCTTCGACTGCGAGAAGAAAGAAAGAGAGGAGAAAAAGCAGGGGCTTTGTTTGGTCCCAGAGAATGAATCCTGTTCCTGATGGAGTCGTCTCTAGAATGAGGAGAATCCGTGCGCTTTTCTCGTTTTTCTGGGGTTTGAGTATTTTTCCCCTTTTCATTCAATTCTTAGTAATGTTAGTTGTAACAAAGCAGCGATCTTGTTATTTCTTGCTTTGTGAAATCAAAAGAGAAGTAAGAAAAAGAGTAGGTTTGCTCAAACCCATGATTATTATTCACCGGCGGTATATATCGGGAACGAATTAGAGGAACCACAATTAATGAACTTTTCGTGTATTATTGTTATTCGTGTGATTCTTGGCATTGTTATAATTGAAGGAACAAGAGAAGCGTGGGTTGCTTTCCTAAATCCCTACTGATTCTAATTGCAATAATTTCAGTTGCGAAATGAGCGGAGAATGTAGTCTTCTGGACAGTGAGGATACTGGGATGGCGCATTCCGAGCGAACAAACAACCCATGGATGAACTTGGATCAGTCTTCGAGCATTTTAGTTGACAATCACAACTTGCTGGTGTTGGAATCACCGGTCTATGGTAGAGAGATTAAGGAATTTTCTGGTGCACAGGACCGGCATTCGAGTGGTGCATCAGAAGGAAAATTAGGTTTTGCAGAGAGAGCATTTTCTGCAGCCGGTGCAGCATTTTTATCGGCCATAATTGTCAACCCTCTCGATGTTGCCAAGGTTAGCGTTTGTGCTTGAGCTGGCAAGCATGTCGCTTTGAAGGAGTGTTATCTGTTGTTATAAGTTTTTCCCGGTTGACCTTCAACCATAGACCTTTATTCTATTTCTTTCCCTATTTCCTCAATGGCTCGATGCACTTTTGGCTTGGTGATTTATTCTATTTTGAACCAGGTTATAGTACCATTTAATGGCACAAATGCATCCTTCGGTTTCATCACTGGTTTTTTCGCTTTTTATAATCTTTTCTTTGTTTTTCGTAAATACGAAGAAGGCCAAAGTAATTGACAAGCTTTCCAAGAGTAGGGTGCAACTTAGAAGAATGTGGTGAAACCTATTGCTTTTTTCCGAGATTTTCGGACTTTTTATTATTATTGTTCATTCATTGTATTGCTTTATGTTCGTCTATTTGGTGGTTGAGAGGAAATCTTAATAATACGATGAATTCTCTGAAATGGTGAGTTGTATACGTGCTCTGTGGAAGAGCTACCGTTATTGAAGTGAAGATTATTGCAGTTTCCATAGATTTCAGACCATTTAGACATTTAAGTTCTGATTTTTCTCTGTTTTGACTTCCATAGATCAGTTTCAGGATTATTGTGGTAAATATAGGGAGTGGCATTCTTACGTTTTCGAGCCTGTGCTTTTGGAATAGGGAAATATTAATCTCTCGCAACTGAATCGAGTTCTAATAGCAGAAGGAGCTGTCATTTAATATCCCTGATTCCACTTGCTCTAAATGGGTTAACATATTTTGCAAGTCTTTCTACACTTAATTCCTCTGTATTGACCAATTGTTAGTCATCTTCCAGTTGGGAAGCTGATCTGATTTTTTGGATAGCTTTTTACTTGGTATTTTCTTCTAGCTTATGATAATTTGGAATTATTTTCTTAAGAATATATTTTGTTAATGTTAAACTTCAAACGTGATATCTTCAGCTTTCACAATTTTTTTTATCATAATGCTTCTTTCATCTGTTGGATGGTTATTCTTTTTCTGAAGTATTTTCTTTTTTTCAGACAAGGTTGCAGGCACAAGCTGCTGGGGTTCCTTATTCCCATCCTTTGAGTAATGTCACAAGTCGCATGGCATTTTTCGGGCCAAATATGGTAAACATGCATCTTTGGAGTTAGCTTACTTTTCTTTCTGTATGATATGTCGCTTTGCTTTGTTCTGTCATTTAGGGTGTCTTTGGACTCGTTCAATTAAGAACCTGCTGTTGATTTTTCTCGGTTTCTATTGCTTTAGATGTTTGCGGATCTGAGATGTTCTCCGTCTTGCACACGTGCTGGAATGCACGGCACGGTGTCAATATGTCCTCCAGATTGTTTTCAATACAAAGGGACTCTTGATGTCTGGTACAAAATAATTCGACAGGTTGGTTTGTGGAACATTTTCCTATTGATGCTTTTTATAGATTCAAAACCTTCTCTTGTGGGCGAGCCTGAGAGGTTTTGCATGACTGGCATTAGTTACTGGTTTTAATGGGTAAATCTGATACTTCAGGCCCTTCTCAAATGATTTGAGTGAGACACACTGTAGCTTTAGCACTTCACTGCCATTTCAAAGCCAAGTCTTTTGTTTTTCTTGATTGATTTTCCATTGCTTATGTGGAGGTGCTTTTTGCAGGAAGGATTTTCAAGGCTGTGGCGAGGCACCAATGCAGGCCTTGCATTGGCTGTACCGACAGTAAGCCTCTTGCACTATAATTTTTCATTTTTCTAAAGAATTTGCAAATTCACAGAATAATATCCTGTTCATTTGCTTATTTCTAATTGTTTTTATTTTTTTGGTCAGGTGGGAATATACTTGCCATGCTATGATATATTCCGTAATTTATTAGAAGATCGTACTGCCCTGCTCGCACCTAGCTTGACGCCCTATGTTCCTTTACTTGCGGGGTCACTAGCTCGCTCTTTAGCTTGTGCAAGTTGCTACCCCATTGAACTGGCCAGAACTCGCATGCAGGTATTCAATGTTTGCATCTTGCTTTTAATTTTATCCCTCAAGATTCAAGAGTGGTTTACTTTTAGATAATTCTTAAGAGTAGATTGGCTCAGATATTTTTGCTGCTTCACATTTGCTGTGTATTTTCTGAGCTTGATGGTACATGAACATCAGAGGTTTTTTTTTAATTGTGAATGGTGTACTTTCTTTTTTGGTTTAGTTTGGTTTATAGTTTTTATTTACTTTCTTAGTCTGGCTTAATGTCTGACTTTTTATTCTATTTTTATACATTAATGTTTATTGCATTTTTATTTGGTTTTTCCATGCCAGGCTTTCAAGGCGACAGAAACTGGCAAGAAGCCTGCTGGGGTATTGAGAACTCTATTTGAAGTAGTGTCTCATGTCAGAGGCACAAGTAATGTGCCGAACAGTCGTGAGTAGATTGGCATAATTTGACATTTTATTCCCAACTCCCCCTCTCTCTCTAGAAGTCTTTCAGCGTGTGGGTTCCAGAGGGAGTGTGTACTGTGGAATGCTGATGGGCAGTTTTTTGTGACAGTGCAAAACTACCGTGTTCTGTGGACGGGCATGGGAGCACAGCTTGCTCGTGATGTTCCTTTTTCAGCAATCTGTTGGTCAACACTCGAACCTGTGAGCTCTCTCTCTCTCTCTTCTCTCTCTCTCTCTCTCTCTCTCTCAACTTCGATGTTGCAATTTGATATGTTGCAGGTCTTTTCATTTCCTTGGTTCTTCTCTCTCTTGAATCTGATCTTGATTTATGTGATTACAGATTAGGAGAAAACTGCTTAGGACCATTGGTGATGAAGCTAGTGCAGTTGCCGTCCTTGGAGCTAATTTTTCTGCTGGATTTGTAGCAGGAAGTCTTGCTGCAGCTGCTACATGTCCTTTTGACGTAGCCAAAACAAGAAGGCAAATAGAGGTTCGTTATTCATGTCAGATTCATCTTGTTAGGATGTTTATTTAAGGATTTGAAACTTAAAAGAACTAGAAACTTTGAAAGCACATGCATGTTCAAGGGATTTTGGTTACCCATTGGTTAGTATGTACGATTTAAACTCAATTTGCTTGAGAAATATCTTTGGTGGGTCAATAGATTAGATTACGTGGGTAAGTTGTGGATGATTTTGAAATGCAGATGCTAAGCCCACTAACCTTTTATTGCACAATAGCCTTATATTGCACATTAGTATGCTTATGAATTTATATTGTCCTGTAAATAAACTTCCGTCTTTGATTTGATGCCAATTTTCTCCCTTTTATTTTTCCAGAAGGATCCAATAAGGGCATTGAAAATGACAACAAGGCAGACTTTATTGGAGATTTGGAGGTATGTATACTTTTTTTGTTGGTCGAAGAGGTATCTATACTTTACATGTCGTGTTTTGGAGATTTTATTCGCCTCGTTTGATATTTGATGTGTTCTAATTTTGATACCTCATCCTGCTTGAAATGGCTCCTTGGTTGAATGTGTACATACTTGACCTGGGGGATTTTAATTTATTTATGGAAAAAAAGAAAAAACTATGAAGGTGCTGCATGGATAGATGCACAAGAAATTTTTCTCATTTTCATTTAAAATTTGGCTTTCGGTGAAGAAACTCTTGGTCTTTTATTCCTGCTGTTTTTTCTGCATGAAGTAGGGTGTCCATAAGGCTTAAATATTTTTTGTAATTGGAATGTTGAGTTTGCGGTTTACCAGCAACGTGGCTCAGAAAGACCTGTCTGACGTGAAAATGGCCAGCATTAGTGTTCAACAACTAATCCTCTAATCCTGTGATTGGTTTTCAAATTTCATGGTCCAGGGATGGAGGCTTGAAGGGACTCTTCACTGGAGCTGGTCCCCGTGTTGGCCGTGCAGGGCCTTCTGTAGGCATTGTGGTATCGTTCTACGAAGTTGCGAAGCATGTCCTGCACACCCAGTATGCAACCTCATGATTGGGCTAATAGAAGCCTGATTTTCCGTCTTCTTGAGGTGTGACCACCAATGGAAGCATCACGTTCTGACTCGATTGAGAAACATTGACGTCATACAGAATGCTGACCTCTTTGCGATATAAAAGGAAGGCTGACAGAAATAAGTAGAGTTCTCATCTTTCTTTTCTTTTCTTTTCTTCTAGGTGTTGCAGCCAAAGTACAGCTTTTTTACTCTTTCCTCACAATGGATGTTCGTTCCATTGAATATTCAATGCTCACAAATGAGCAGAAATTTTGTAGACTGTTGATATTTTGAGCACTTTTTTGGTTGGTCACCCTCAAGCTTAATTTAATCATATCCCCAGTCTTCACAGAATTGAATGACGTGAGATCTCTCGTGGCAATTATTTGCCCTTTACAGGTTAACATTGGGGAAATTTGTGTGTGGTCACAGATGTAATGGTATTATGCAGGATGAGTGACTTGACACTGATGCCACTAGATAGTATCGAAGCTGAATCGTTTACTGTAGGTGCAGGGTCAATACATGAGAATGCATGGTTTTCGAGTTTGAAATTTGGCATAATTGTATCTGAATGGTTATTAGCCCGAGAGATTCAGGATGGTCGAGTTCGGCTGGATATTGAGTTGGCAACTGAGCTTGCTTTTGGGGTGCATTTGATTGCTGGCCTGCAATGTATGTTCTTCGCATGGCTAAAAATCATGTGCCTGGGTGGTTGTTTTGCATGCAGCGTTGGACGGGAAATAAATAACGCAACCAAAGAGAGTGCGATTAACTTTTGGCTGGAAAGATGGTTGGGTTGATTGGCAGGGCATGGAAATCGTGAAAAGCCCGTAGTATCTTTCTTGTACTGAATTTTATGTCTTGACTTCCTGGTGCCGTGACAATACGTTGGTTACATTTCCTCCACTCTGCAGCATCTCAGGTCGTGTGATATGTGATGGAGGGCATTGTACTATTGTTCATAAATGCAATATCCACTCCAAAACGGACATTCCGTGAATGCTCTCTGCTGGAACGGATTGTGTTGTTTCAGAATGACATCTTAGCAAAGACTCTCTTCGGTACAAGTGCGTGTTTGAAGTAAGCCTTTGATCGATATGACGAGCATTGGGATCGAGCACGACACCTCGAGGGGGTCGAATAATGTCTCACTCCCGACATCTTTTTAGGATTAGCAAAAGTGGCTATAATGAACATAGGCGTCCATCACGCGTCGGATGGAAGGAAGTGTTGACTTGACAAGCATTACAAAATGTATTGATATCTTTCTGGTACATTCGCTTTTTCCTCTACTTTAGGGCTAGATTAGTTTGGCTTTTTAAGTAACTCTCTTGCTACAATTTAAAATTTCATCATTATTCTATATCTTTATCAGAGCCAAGGGGGAGATCTCCACGAAGGGGGATACCATAAGGTTGCCCTAGGTATATATTGGATATATTTGTTGATTTTAGAAAGTATTGCACATTCATGTTTCGATCAAATTATGGGATCTCAAGATGTGAAAGAAAAATAGACTTAGGTAGAGATCACTCCAAACAAAATCTGTCTTTGAAGACACTAAGCCTTTAATCCAACGTTATATGACACAATGTGACTAGCATGACGGTCACAAACTTAATCTCATGTGGTCTATAATATGGTCGAAGGTCATTTCCCGCCCGTATGAATGCTACTAATACGAACTATGGTATTTCGGTGACAATCTAATCCGAATTGCCGACTCCTTATTAGCTTCTTTTTAGTAATAATTGAACAAAATTTTGTACGAGATCATATACCAGAGAATGTGCGCTTTCAAATGTTTTCTCTTATTAGTTCATTTCCTTTATTTTTCAACTGACGTTGGATTCATCGAGTGACAATATGGCAAGATTCGTGGTCGTAATTTCTTTCTTTCTTTTATTGGAAATCGATTTCCATTTCAAGATATCAATGTAGCCCAAATCAAATATCAGAGATAATCCCATAATCATAATGAAAAAAGAAAAAAAAAAAAGAATCGAGATATACATAAAGAAAAAAAATATATGTTTTTCCCCCAGCCGCTCTCTTGTCACAAAAGATTCAAGCCATCTCCAGACACACTAATCAACCCCAGCCAGACACAAATTAAAAAAATAAAATAAAATACAAACATGTTTAAGGTTTCGTTTTTCTCTGTCCTTAAAATAAAAATTAAGCAAAAAAAATAAAATAAATGGAAGCTTTTTGTGTGTTGCGATCGCGAATGTCAACCGGTGTGGATCGCCCTTTTCGTCTGGAGAAACCATTTGAGAACGAACGGTGGATGTTGATGTTGATGTCGATGTCGATGTCGATATTGATGGGGGGGAGGCAATCGGTCATCGACATCAATGGATGAGATACGTGAGGATGAGGGCTATCAGCATCAGCACGTACGCTATTCCTTGGTCTATTGACGTACCTGCATGCGTCCAACACCAGCAATCAAGATCGTTTTTTGATCTTTTCTTGTGGGTCAATCATCAGTTTTACTCTTACCCAACACAAATTATTCGAAGTTCCAATGAAAGCTGAATAGAAAAATTAAGGGAATCGAGGGAGGAAAACACACGGACCGTCGCTGGTGGGGGCCGGAGCCGGAGCCGGGGATTGGGCACGAGCCGTGGGTAACATGATGGCGTACATAACGACGACGGCGACGACGGCGAACACTCCGGCATTAACCTTAGAAGCGCCCATTTTTTTTTTTTTTTTTGGCTTGTTCCTCTCTCTATCTTCCCGGCTAACTTCGTCGCGAAAAGTAGGAATGATTCGAGTGTTTCCTTAGACGAACGTTAGAGGAAATGATAGAGAGAGAGAGAGAGCTCCTTGTTTTTTGGTAGGAAATACAGAGATCTCGTTCCGTTTCGTGAATGGAACGGAACCTTTATAGGTAAGTCACGGGGGTGTGAGATCATGCAAGGGGAGGAGAGTTCTTGATATGTGTCCATTTCTGGAAAACAGAGATGCTTGGTCCACCCGCACGTTTAGGGGGATCTTTCAACGAATGGAAAAGAGGCAAAAAGGAAAGGAACCAGCAATGAATCGATCGATGTTGAGGTATATCATGCATGTTGCACGATGCTGCTGGTCATGAGTTGTCGTTCTTGGCATCTAGAGAACAGCCCCCTTTTTTGCGTGGCGCTCTGTTTTTGTGAGCTGTGTCTGTACGGGCGTATTTTGGGACAAATTATTTGCCATATGTGCACACTTACGCATGTATTGTGTCTGTACTGTTTTGTTTTTCCTACAGCTGTATTACTATAAGTATACAGTAAGGACGATCACTATAATCGCAGGCTGCGAAATCAATCGGCTGTCGGACCGCCCATTTTCGGTGCATCCATTGTTGTAGGCGTTGCCGTGACAAAAGATCTTAATGCCCGGCGATTTATGATTTAGCGTGTAGGAAAACTCGGTAATTAGGCCAATGAGGTGTCTCTGGACTCTCTTGTAGCATTTGGACTGACTAGGCACGAAACTACATAAGTCCTGTTGGTCGTTTCAATTTGGATACCAGTCATATACACCATGCGGAGTTAGTAAGGCCGGCCATCTCTATTCCAAGTCCAAGTCCGAGCTCCTGTTCTAATATCCGTGACCGAACCCGACCTGCCCATCGAGATATCATGTTTGATTGATGCCATAAGATTCATCTTAGGTGAGTGAATTCTGAATCTATCTAGTTGAAATTGCAAGTCAGAATCTGAGTGCGTTGCTAACCGGCTTTTCTTGGGCCATCTCAATCTTTTTCCCTCTCCATCTAATTAAACTCTTGAATCGGAGCCAATGCCTTAACTATTTCAGAGGAATTGTTATAGTTCATAAAACCATGGAAAAACAATCTGACTTTTCGAAAGTTCTTTCCTTTATTGCATCCTGGGGAGCTACAGCATCCACCAAAAACAGCTCATACATGTACCACATGATCTTAGCTTATGAGTGAAAGTATCGCACCATGGAAACAAAAACACGGAACAGCAGATTGTACCAGCTGAGCTAGCTTTCTAGTGCTGACGAGGCCAGACGAAAGCTCCGATGGCAAACTTCCTCTTCCGCTCCACGTCCCCGGCCGCTGCGACCGAGCTTGGGAGCCCGTATTCGGAGAGGAGGCGATCGATCTGCCACTCGGGCATGTTCTCGTAGTCGGACTTGGAGTAACTCGGGTAATGCAGCGGCATTTGAAAGCCGCGATTGCCGCCGTCGGCGTTCCTCTCTCTCTCTTCCTGAAACCGCATTGCTCCAACGTTGTATGCACCATTTGATGAGTCCATTTTCTCTCTCCTTCTCTCTCTCTTTTTGTGAGTGAAAGAGTTTGCCTCAAACCCTATTAATATACAAAATTTCCTGCAGAGCGTTTGTACAGTTGCACGTGAAGGCCAAGGACTTGTATATTTTTATTACTAGGAAACAGAGAAGTTCCACTCCACCTAAAACTCTTAACTTCACTCACAAAAATAGAAAGGCCTCATTTATTTGTGTGTTTTCGTATTGAATTGCTGTAAATCTCAACCCTAGTGTGTTGTCTGGTGAGAGAAGTGTCAAACAGAAAGCGATTCATTAATTCGGCCAGTCGGCGGGTACAGGGGTGCTATTCTTTCTGTGCAGACGTCAAAACGTGCAAAAGTATTGGAGTTGTTGTGTGAGGTCACCAACCACCTTTGTTTTTCCTTCCACTTATTAATTTTCTTATGCCACCTGGTCCTCTGCTCTGGTGTGTACTAAATAATTACTCTAAAGTAATAATTTGAAAAAAATATAGGTTATTGTATAAAAGGGCAGTCACAACTGGTGCAAACAAGGAGGAAAACATTCAAACTTTACCTGGCAAGATCATGTTTGGTATTCCCTGAGACTGAAGTGGACTTATCCTCCTCTTTATTGTGGAAACTCTGCAAATCGAGAATGTTTAACCAGAAGCAGATGCAGAGAAGGTATAAACTGCAATTAATCACTGGACGAGAATCATTAAGAAATTTGATCTTACGTTACGCCATCGATGCATACATACTGTCAACTTCCATATATACATGACACAGCACATATATACAGCCCCTGTGCTTTTTAAAGCAAATATCTAACCTATACATATCCGTCTAATTTCCACAAGACTCGCACTCTGGTTCAACTCAAAGCACAAAGAGTTAGGAAAATCTTTGTCCGAACGGCGAAATGTCCTCTAACTTCTTCATTGGCATCGAAACAGGCTTCAAGAAGGAAAGAAAAAAGGGTCCTCATTGTTCTTGTAGATCTGAAACAGCTGTTTAGAGTAGTGATCAGCCAATTTCCGGCAGAGATCTAATGCTTCAGGGTCATGCTCCTGTAACTCCTCAACCGACTTCGTTAGGTCACCAGATGCATCTCCGTCAGTAAGAAACTCACCCAGAGAGCAGCCCCTAAGCAGAACACCATGATATATTAACAACAGAGCAGCTGGAATTCATAAACTGGATACATAATATTTGAATTCAACTCCACAAAACCCCAAAGGAGCATATTAAACAAGATTATCACTGACTCAAAAGGCAGCATTATTAATTATTCACGAGGAAGTTCGGACAGGACATGCAACTGGTCATGCAAAAGGTACATTATCTAACAAAAGAAACGTACAAGAAACATATACAACCATCGGGCAACACGTACAGATAAAGATCACTGAAAGCAGCACACATCTTGTTGCAAAGGAAGAGCAAACAAATAGAACCATCAGGCAATAAGTTTATCAAGCAATAAACATAAGACCTGAAACTTGTAGTAATTATTAGATCGATGGAAGCATATAAGCTTCCAGCACCAGAGTGTAATACCATCTCGTTTCGTTCAAAGAAAAACAAGGTAAACATAAGATGCTTATGTATAAGATAACATCAAAGCAAACACAGGAGAAAACATAACGTGTGTGCAACTTGCAGGCAGCTTTGACAAGCAAATCATAAGTCAAGCATCCAACATAAGCATCAGTACTAAACAAATTGACCAAGGAAAGAGTCTATCGATACGAATGATGGAAATACAACCTACCTGGGTGCATCAAACTTGCTAAACCCACGTTGATTGTTGTAGAATGCTTCCTTACTAATTTTCTCATCAGCAGTTTGCTGTCGATAGAGAGCACATACAGCTTTCATGCACAACTCAGGTTCCTTACCAAATGCTGCAAGCATGTCTGCCTCAAATTTCCACTCAGACTTATGATCTTTGCTTCTTTTAATTCTCGATAAAATCTCGCCAAAGTCCGTTTCACCATCAGATGTATCTTCTGACTGACCAGAAGCACCATCCCCATCAGAAGCATCATCGGCATGAGAAACATCAGAATCAGCAACTATAAAGCTGCTCGAGCTGTCGTTATCACTGTCTAATCCAAAATCTTCAGAATCGTCATCCTCAGCATCTTCGGTGGTAGGGCCTGCACGATGATGCTGAACTCCGCTGGATGATTTTCGTTTTGCCTTCGCTTTAGCCTCACGTTCCCTCAATGTCATTAGGTGCCGCCTCACGGGGGTCTGAGCATGTTCGACATGGTTGTCTGGAGAAGTATTAGCTCTTTGGCACCGATTCATTTCACAAGTAGTACCAGGTTTATATAATTCCTGAAGATGCATCCTCTTTAGCCTACCTATTGGAACACAATCATCGTCACCACTCTCGCTATCAGTCTCGATAACATTAAAAGCCCGTTTCCTTTTTGGAATCAGTACAGCAGAGTTATCTTCATCACCAGCTATACTGTCATTGTAGTCCTCTTCGTGACTGGTCCTTGCACTGTTCTCAATAGTCATTGCTTTTCCACCCTCTGGAATCCCCTTATATGAGCGGTAATCTAAATCCAAACCCTTTGAATTTTCCTGATTGTTAAGAGCATGCGTTTCGTTGTTAGTTTTATCTTCTTCTTCATCACTATCATGGATGTCAATAATGCCAACAGCGTGGGGTTTGGCAACTCCAGGAGTAGATGAAGCCATTTTTCTGCTGGGGCTTTCCTCCTCTTTGAATAGTAACTTTTTCCTAGCTCTCCTGCCGTAGTGTAGGCATGCAACTTCTTTTTCGCCTTTAACATCACAAGAATTACTTTGCATTGTAAAGTTTGGAGGAGAACCTGCCCAAGAAAATCCAAAGCATATTGTATGTGGCCACAGCTGGTAATTTCACCAAAAAGGGAAGTAGGTATAGATTTGACTACATGTCAAAAATGCTAATCACTGAGAATGATTTCTTCAAGGTCAACCACTAAAGGAAGCTCACTGATGCCGATTAGAAAATCTTTTTTTTTTTTGGCCATGTAAAACTCGCCGATTAGACAATCAAGATGAGATAATTGAGTAATTAAGTTTTAAAAAAGGTTTTCCAATCTATTGTACGTACGAGATACATAATAATAAGACAATCAATGTTATCATGCCAATCAATCATAAATGCTAGAAAACTAACTAACCAAATTAAAAGCAAACAAAACGATGTTGAAAGGTCAAAGTACCTGAAACTTTCAAATGTGCAGCTTCTTTACCACATGATTTGCAACCAGAGCCCACATCAACCAGATCCACCATCCGTGCATCCCAATGTCCACCACATGACTCCTTGAGATTGCCCATTTCCTTTCTTCTGCTCACACCATGTGCAAGTTCATTAGCAAATTCACCATCCGTCCATTCGAAGCCTGAAATTCGTTCCTTGATCTCGCTGTTCTTTTGCTTCAAAACCACAACTTCACGCTCAATAGCCTGCTTCTCAGCTTCTAATGCCTTGAATTTATCCTCGAGCGCTTCATAATCACTCTTCCATTTCCGGTTCTCCAATTCCAACCTCGCAATTCTCTCTTCAACACTCTCACCCCTATCCATGCCTGCGCTAAGCCTACAAGCTTCCAACTCTTTTTCAACAAAATCCAAGCCTCTGCTGTCATCCGGGCATTCCACTTCATCCAAGTTCGAATTCATATCGAATCACGGCGTCTCCTAAACTTCAACAAATCAAACATACCAAGATCAGCATCTCAAACTTCCTATTAGGAGAGCCCTAAGTAGCATAATGACACAGCAAGGGGCAAATAATGAAATTAAAAGATTAAAAAAATCCTAAACACATGTTAACACCAACCAACTCGGTCACACACTAACAGTACGCAAGCTCACTCTAGTCTCCAGCTTTCGCGTAATACCATCCAACAACATCCTAAGGGACCATAAACAGAACAACCCAATACACAATACGAGGAAGAGGAAAATACCCACAATTCAAAATACAATCTTTCTTTCCATTTCTCAACCGCTTCACGCGAAGAAAGAGCAGCAGACTTTTGATGAGACAAACCAAGGAGAAGGCGCATACCAAACGGCCGAGCGGGCGTCGATCGGCTTCGCTGTCGGAAAGATGAAGCCTTCCAGCCTCGTTCTGCCAGGGCTTACGGCCTTCGTGCTCGTCGCAGGTGACCGAGCCCGGAGAGAGAGAGAGAGAGAGAGAGTGGAGCCGCTGGCGCATCGGAAAACTCGACCGCCGGTTGGCTTCTGAGAGACGATTGACGTCACCCAGACAGTGCCCGGTCACGTGGCCATTGAATGGCCGCCACGTGCTCTTAACAACGTAAAAAGTTTTCCTCGATATTCCTTTTCTTTTTGTCTGGCTATTTTTCAGTTTCTACTTTACACACTTATATCATAAGAAAATATTGTAATACGCGGAAGTGTTTGATTCAGCTTTGCAAACGAGACTTAAGAAAGTGCAAATGTCTTGATCTAATTAAACCAAATTTGTTGGTACTTATTTTTTTTTTGAGTCTATTCGTATTTTCATATTTTGATTTTTCATATTTTTAGGTGAAATAATTATTTTTTCAAATATATGATGAGATATTAAGAGATATGGTTAAATATTAAAAAATAAAATGAGGTATTGTAAGATATTATTTCTAGTTATATTTTAGGAAAGATAAGGGTCACGTAACTTTTCTTTAAATAGGGAAGTCTTGTAATTTTTTATAAGAGTGAAATCTGAGTGAAATATATTGAGTCAAAAAATTCTATCTATTCTCTTCTTTTCTTTGCGTGAGTTGCGATTGTTTTACCTTCAAAAATTTCTTCCATCAAATCAAGTTGTTGCCGCGTCTCTGACGCTCAACAAATTGGTATCAGAGGTCATTAGGGAAATGCAAATTGCGCTTAGTGAAAAATTCTTTATAAAGGCTATTTTGACCTAAATAATGTTTGACTAGTGCTTTTGGGTTTGATTTTTTTTTTTTTACGACGGGGATGGGATCAAACTTATTGCATCTGATTGCATTTGCAAAAAAATGAAAAGGATGAAAAATTAGAAAATTAAAATAAGATAAAAAAGAACAGAAACGATGATTCTGTTTTCACACAACGATGTCAATTGTCCGAGAGTTTTCTTCTCTCATCATGCCCGAAGTGGTTGTCAAAGTGAGGCAACACTAGTGGCGCCTATCGCCTCACTTCGACGATCACTTAGTAGTGGTCACACCTCACAATCTTTAACGAGCTTAATCGACCTGCGAGCTAGATCTACTGCTGATCTACCAAACCCCGCCACGGTGGTTGCCATTAGAAATGGCCACCACCACAGGCGACGGTGGTCCCGTGTAATAGTAGAATAGGATTTTCTATATACTTTTTTTTATTTTCCTAAAGTAATTTACTCAAATATTTTATTATTTATTTAATTCTAGTCTAAATTAAATCCAGTCACCTTGGATATGACAAATTCACTTAAATTTTTTTTTTGTATTATTCTATTCCATTCGATCCGAATGCTTATCTCGACGACCAGCGTTGAATTTCACTCGAACTTGCAGTTTACACACAAACTCTGCTTTTCCATTGAAACAGAACAAACAGTCCGTACGTTCAATCTCTGACCGATAAAGAGGTATGCAAACCTTTGATTTCCATTTTTCTTGTTCTCGTCATTTACGAAAGGAAGATTTCGCGAAAACATGGAAACCCGAAATGTAAAATTTCGATCTTGCGGTTCGTTGAAACGATTCCGCCGTTTCTCTGTCGTTATTGCGTTCTTCTTTCCCGCGGTACGGTAGTGCACGCTAGGTGCTCGATGAAATGCCTGCGAAGAATCGGGTTGTTTATTTAGCGGTACTTTTGGCAGGGCATGCTTTGTCATTCTGGATAAAATAAGATACCTAGGTGGATATTGGGTCGTCATGGTTGAGACCGAATTCTGGTTTTGCTTTCGAGACGAATCATGATGGATGTCCTGTGCCAGTGCTCGTGTTAATGCTATATCTCACAGGGGAACTAGTTGTGGCAGCTCATGGCTAGCGGTAGCGGGAGGAGATGCCTCCTGCTTTTGGAGAAATGCAAGACCATGAGACACTTGAGAGAAGCTCATGGACAGGTGATCACGTGTGGGCTTGGGAGTAACAGCTTTGCACTAAGCAGACTCTTAGCTTTTTGCGCAGACCCGCGTCATGGAAGCGTTCATTATGCATGGGAAGTTTTCCAACGGATCCAAATGCCCACCATCTGTATCTACAACACCATTATCAAAGCTTTCTTGCTCAATAACGACTTTTTCAGTACCATGAGCATGTACAATAGGTTATTGATAAGCGGTTTTTGTCCCGATAATTACACGATTCCTTATGTACTGAAGGCTTGTGCAAAGCTGCATGACCATTATCTAGGAGAGTCTGTCCATGGGCATGGGTTAAAAGTGGGACTTCTGTCGGATATTTTTGTGGGCAATAGCTTGATCTCTATGTACTGTGAGCACAAGAGTATGAGAGCGGCAAGAAAAGTGTTTGATGAAATTCCTAGGCGGTGCGTTATCTCATGGACAATAATGATTTCTGCATATGCAAAGGTGGGAGATGTTGATAGTGCAAGGGAGTTGTTTGATGAGGTTACTGAGAAGGATAAAGGTATATGGGGTGCCATGATTTCTGGATATGTACAGAATGGTTGTGTTAAGGAAGGACTGTACACGTTTCGCTTGATGCAGTTGAATGGTGTTGAGCCTGATGAGTCAGTGCTGGTTAGCACACTCTCTGCTTGCGCTCACTTGGGGGCTCTGGATACTGGTATTTGGATTCACAGGTTTGTCAACCTGTGGCGGTTGACATTGAGTTCTCGACTGTGTACCGGTCTCATAGATATGTATGCCAAATGTGGGTATATAGACATAGCCAAGAAACTGTTTGATGAAATGCCTGAAAAAGATAATATTTGCTGGAATGCTATGATTTCAGGATATGCAGTCAATGGTGACGGAGAGAGTGCACTCAAGCTGTTTACAGAGATGGAGAATGGTGGCATTCGACCAGATGACATCACATTCATTTCCATCTTCACTGCATGCAACCATTCAGGTTTGCCACGTGAAGGTCTGAGGCTGTTGTATAAAATGTTGACAGTGTACAAAATTGAGCCTAAGAGTGAACACTATGGTTGCTTAGTTGACCTCCTCTGCCAAACAGGGTATTTGGAAGAAGCAAAGGAAATACTCCTGAAAGTTCCAAGAAGTGGCTCATTTGAAGAAGCTATTGCTTGGAGAGCTTTACTCCAAGCTTGCTGTAAGCAAGGAAACTCGCAGATGGCTGAGTTTGCAGCTGAGAGACTTGTGCAGCTGGAATGTCACAGTGGAGCATATGTTCTACTTTCTAACTTATATGCTGTTGCCGAAAAGCAAGATGAAGTTCAAAGAATCATAAAGTTGATGACAAGCAGAGGAGTTTACAAGGCACCTGGTTGCAGCTCAATTCAACTTAATGGGGGTGTTTATGAATTCATTGCTGGAGAGAAAACACACCCACAGATGGATAGGATATATAGTACTTTGGACAAGTTGAATAAGCAGTTCGACTGCTGAAGGTTGCAACCCTTTTCCAGTATTAATTCTACCATCTGCACTTGAAAGAATGGTTTAACCCTCACCTGGTTTTAGTGTACCACTTTGAGGATAGATAGCAACAAGACGATGTCCCAGTCTTTGAATGAGTCTGCTACCGAGAGGAAATAATAAAGAGTGAAGGAGTTGAACTACACAGTAACAGTGTTGAAACCCTCCGACATGTTCACAAAAATGAGAAATCGAGGTCCCAAACCCTCCGACATGTTCACAAGATGAAGCATGAAATGTCCCAAGAAGAATTTGCTCTTCGATAAAAGGCTAATGGAAGCTTGAGACAGGTGGGACAATATGAAGTTACCGACATTGGATGGACATAGTAAGCTTTGGAGATAGTAGTTTTAGCAAGATTGAGATGGTCTTATTTGATGTGGCTGTGGATACAAATGACTCATGAGGAACCAATTTACTTGTGGAAGGTGCTGGAGGGATTTCTTTTGTTTAGACTCCACGATGACGAAAATACTTCTATTTGTATCTAACATATTATGACATTTCAATTTTACGGTCTCTCTTAAAAGTCTGTTGTCTCACTTACCTGGGATTTGATTAACAAGGATGTGATAATAAAATGTGACTTATGTTTGACCGCATCACCCTCTCCAGCACTCTCTCTCTCTCTCTCTCTCTCTCTCTCTGAAATAAGTGCATTTGGTTTTGAGATGAGTGATGTATGTTTTCTCTGGTAATTAGATGACTGATAATTTTGAACTAGTGGTATAGTAAAGAATTTGTAGCTCCTAATCTCTCTTTTCTCTGGTGGGATACAGGAACCAAAGAAATGCAGTTTTTGAAGCTCATCAGCTCGAGCCCTGCCTGTTCTCTCAGAAAATCATTATATAACAAGAAGTGGGTTTCACCATTTACACAAGGGACTTCTTTGTCCGCAGGGGATGTGGAAGTGAGGGAACTTGTTGAATACATAGATTCGCTCAAGAACTATGAAAAATCAGGAGTGCCAAAAGATGCAGGTACGGATTCGGATGACGGGTTTGATCTTGGTCGGATGAGAAGGTTGATGGGTCGTCTAGGGAATCCTGATTCGAGGTTCAAGGTTTGCTTTTTGCTCCAAATTCTTTTTCATTGTTCTTCTAATTTTTCTTTGTTTATAAAAGTAAATGTATTTTGTCCCATGAGAAGCTCAAGAACTTAGATTTAACCCTTTACAACTGGTTAATGCAAAATAATCTTCGTTACTTTATAATTGATTTATTTGTTAACTACTACGACTGAATTTGTTTCAGTCATTTGCGTGTGAAAAGTACATTTATTGGACTCCTCATTTATTTGTCTGATCATTGGATTGATGAAGTAGCTTCAGTTTTCATATCTGAGACATCCTTGTAGAGGTATCTGTTGATATTGCATGCTTTACTACTTCTCTGTTTCTCTTTAATCTGAGTATGTCTTCATGTTACTTTCCTAACAACTGCATAGGCTATTCACATTGCTGGGACGAAGGGGAAAGGATCTACTGCAGCATTTCTTGTGAACATCTTAAATGCAGAAGGATATGTTGTGGGTTGTTATACTAGGTGTTGTGTTATCACATCTGTTGACTTTATTAATATTTACTTTTCTTTGGTTGCTTTTTCATTGTCTCCTTCCTTATGACTGGCAATATGTTCTGGTTGCAGCCCACATATTCTGTCAATCAGAGAACGCATTTTGGTGGGAAATCCAGCCAAGCCTGTGCCAGCAGAGAAACTAAATTGCCTATTCCATCAGATAAAAGACATTCTTGATGAGTCAATAGTACTTGAAAATGGTTGCCTGAGTCATTTTGAGGTATGCTAGCCTATTTTTCACAAATAACACTTTGTTGACTATTTTAAGAGTTCGTGTGAGTGAGTTTTTCCGGTAGCTGCTGCATAGAAATACTAGTGATGAACAATGAATCATTTTAGTGGGCCATAATCTAAATGATTTTGCCTGTTTGATTCTCCCTCTTAACTTGTCTTCCTTTTTTTTTCCCTGTTTTACTCCTTTTGTCCTCTTTTATCTTTTTGTTGCACTCATGATGCATTTTAGTTCCAAGTGTAAGTTTTGCAGTCGAATTAGATTAGGAGATCCACTGCATTTCCTTCCTTTTTTTTAACAGTTCATAATATTCGCTGACAAAGATAACTCCATCAGCAGCATGCATCATTTTATCAGATAGCTTGTCGATTTTTGGTCTTTCTTGGCTATTAAATTCACTATTGGGGGATTGCACATATAAAGATGCACTCTGTTTGCAAATTCAGAAACATGCACCCTTTTCTTACTGACTGATCTTTTTCATACTGACCAAGCAAAATATTTCAGGTTCTTACTGCTGTGGCATTCACGCTCTTTGCCCAAGAGAATGTTGATATGGCAGTTATCGAGGTTGATTTTACTAATTACAAGATCTCTTTTCCATGGCTTCACTATTCTTTTCGCAAGTTTCCATGCGAATTCTCTTGTCATCCTTATCATGAGTGAAAACTTGGAAAATGGATACAATAGTGATGTCCTTTTCTTATGGAAACAGGCTGGACTGGGGGGTGCTCGAGATGCTACAAATGTTATTTCTAGTTCTGGACTCCTTGCATCAGTCATAACAACAATAGGCGAGGAACATATGGATGCTCTTGGAGGTTCTTTGGAAAGCATAGCAATGGCGAAATCTGGGATCGTTAAGCACGGCTGTCCAGTTAGGTTGTTCTTGCTGCTTATATGTGTGACACGTTTGTAACTACCTCCATGTTCGCTTGAATGTCTTCCAGAAACTATAACACTTTCTTCTTTAAGTTTGGTTGCAAATTTAAAAGGAACTCTTCATTAAATCTAATCTTACTGGAAAAACAACAAGTGGACATTGACAGCATGATGTATTTTTCTTTTTCACCTGTGAGCAGTCAGATAAAAAGTGGCTGGTTGCGCAAGTACAACCACTGTATCTCATGGCAACTGGACTTTTCTGAATTACCTTCAAATTAATGCATGCATCTTTTATGAAACTTTAAACCATTTAATCCTGCTGAAGTGGATGAAGATATCAGATTCATATAGAGCATAAGAGCTCTTAGAATGACGTTGGTAACTAATGCTCCTGAGACCCACTTGTCTATATTGGGGTCGCTGGACTCACTTTCTGGTCAAGTGACTGCTTAAGATAGAACTTTTTTTTGCATAACGTATGTTATCTTGTGAGATGTTCTTATAATCAGCTTAGCCATGCTCTTAATTCTGACATGTGATCACGATCTCAGTTGGTGCTGGGGGGACCAGTTGTTCCACAAATTGAGCGCATTCTTCGTGATAAAGCTTCAGTAATGAATTCGCCAGTGGTCTTAGCATCTGGTGCCGGGAACAGAAGTGTTATAGAAAGCATTTGCTTTCTCGATGGTAGGCCTTGTCAGCGTTGTGACGTTGTCTTAGAAGTTGAGAGGGACTTGCAGCTGGTATGACCTTTTAGAATCTCTGAATAGTCTCTGATCATTATGTTTTGAGTTGTTGGGAGATTTTCATGGAGACATGTCGTTTGGATTATGCAGTCTACTAATTTGTTGAATGTAAGGATGTCCATGCTTGGGGCCCACCAGCTTCAGAATGCAGTAACGGCCACATGTGCTGCACTCTGCCTTCGTGACATGGGTACTAACAATTACCAATGTTTCATTGGGTTGATTTTCCCTGATTGTCTTTGCTGTCTTGGTCATGATTGCTGTATGATTTTGTTGCAAGGTTCTATGCTAATGTATTGATGCATATTGTGCTTAAGTATGAGTCTTTTTTTATGCTCATCTTCAACAATCTCCATTTTATATCGTAGTTCTTTAGAAATGCTGAACTTGTGTCTTGAGAGAGCTTGATGCTTTTTCAAAAGCCAGAAATCTTGCGTATGCCTGTGTTTGTATGAGACGGAGCACTCGCAGACAATTGAGTTCTCTGCGATCACTTTGTGACTTCTGATTATTTCAGTTGGATCCGACACTAAACGACCATTTGTTCAACGCTTTATATTAGTTCTTTCATGATGTTAGACACTTTATTTCATCATAGCATAGAGGTGATCATTAAACATGTTGGTCCTGTCAGTTTAAGAATATGTACAAGTATCTTTTTTTTTCCTTCTTTTCAATTCACGTCTTGTCTTCCTGACTGCAGGATGGACAATCTCTGACCAATCCATAAGAGCTGGATTGGAGCGTACCCATTTGCTTGGAAGAAGCCAATTTCTTACGTTTACAGAGGCCAAGGCACTGGGACTACCTGGAGCAGCAGTACTGCTGGATGGAGGTATTGTGGTGCTCAAATGCCTATTCTGTACCTACACTTTGCACATGACTAGTTTTCTTTCCTCACAAGCCAAAAAAAAAAAGTCTGTATATCTCTATATGTTGTTAGTATTATGACTTAAATTTATTCGTACTGTAGATGTTTCTTTATTGAGATTTGAGAGAGGTACAGGCATCTGTAATTTGCCATAATTTTAGTATCCATAATTTCTAGGGGAGTCAGTATCTGGTGTTGTGCATTTTTGCATTTACTCCTGCCATAGTATGTGTTTGCTTAGTAGATTAGTGACAAATTTTGTGAATCTTGTAATAATTTCTGTATTGTTCTCAGCGCACACCAAAGAATCTGCTAGAGCTTTGGTCGAGACTACCAAAATGACCTTTCCTGATGCGCCATTGGCTCTTGTTGTCGCGATGGCTAGGGACAAAGACCATGCGGCCTTTGCAAAAGAGTTCCTTTCAGGTAATTTCTGGTTAAAGTTGCTTGACCCACTTTCAATCTCATCACTGATCTAAGTGAAGCAAATTAGAAATTGAGATCATTAGATGCTAGGAAAGATCAACAATTCCATGAATCTTATTAGTTATGGTCTGTGCTGTATGTCTAGTGCAACCTCTCCTTGTAGGTCGTGGTTCTTCTATATGCCTTCGCTTTGAGTGCATCTAGTACACCAAAATATACGCTGTGCAATTTTTCAGGTGCAAGATTAGAAGTTGTCGTCTTGACAGAGGTTGATATTGCCGGGGGCAATGCTCGTACGACTCCCTCGACTTTGTTACGAGATTGCTGGATTCAAGAATCTGAAAGAATGGGCATTGCGGTTCTTCACGATAAAATGCCTGAATATCAAGAATCATTTGGGGATGGATCGGAGTGTTCTTTAATTGGGATGGAAGATAGAGTCATATTAACTGCTGCTAACAGTTCGTTGGCTGATTCTCTGCATGCTGCAAACAGAATCCTGAAGAGAAAAGCCAGAAAGGGACCGGCTCTTCTTGTTGTTACTGGATCTCTACACATGGTTACATCGGTGTTGCTTTCTCTTGGTGGTTGAGTCGTTCTTTTTATGAGCTTTTTATTTGTTGTCTATGTGTATCACTAATTGAATACATGTTGCCATTGGAAGTTGATTAATTTTATTGCATCTTGGTCTGAGAGAGTATATGTTTAATTTCCTAACTTAAAGGACTCATCGATACATATATTTTCCCCGGGATTGTCCGAATTCTGATCATTTCTCTATCGCCTTTCTGTGGACATTTTCCAAAGGAATAATCGGGCGTAAATTCACCTCATGTTTCAACTTTTGAATTGCTATCTTTTGTTGGCTTCTCTATATAGCTCACTGAAACAGTAATATCAATCGGCCAAAATCATGCCAAGTCCATCGAAATTGCTTTTCTTGGGGCCTTTGCTGATCGTTTAAGAAATCATCACCTGCTCGTAATTCGATCATAAGAACATGCATTTAGTCAAAATTCCGATATTTAGTGTTTCTTTGAATGAATACTCGAAATTTTTTTCAATGAACGGTTATTATGCATCTTGAAGTGGTTAGACGACATCGGACTCTTGATGAACGGTTACTTGGGAATTGTAGAAGCATTTGCATTGTACAGATGTAGGAGTAACATGTTACATTGCTGATTGTAATCCACACTGAATTCTACAGAAAGAATACGATTTTGGCTGAAGGGATGCATTGTGTTCGCATGTACTGCTTGAGAAATCGTATTGAGTTTGCATGACAATTTCCCGGACTATCAGTATTGCTGCATGTAGCTCCCCTGCGTACGTACGTCAGGCCAAGTACTAGCTACATCAGGAACAGAAAAGCTACGGTAAACAGTCAAATCTTTTTATTCTTGCCAAGCCGAATACAATCACGTAACACGAGCAATCGAGATCACAGGAAGAGAAAACTTAAAAATGGAAAGTCACCTATAATACCCGTCGACCAAGTAATTAAATTTGATGAAGTATAATTACAGGTGAGTAAAGAGACATCATCGTTTCTGGCTTTGCTTGCTTGCTAGCTAAAACCTGGAAATGCTGCCTAAAGGCCAAACCTAACTATAACTCTTGACATTACCACATTGTTTCCTAAATTATTTCGGTTCAAAATTTAGGGAAAGAATCCGGGGTTGTCAAAGGAAATGTCCTCGTTAGCGAACTCCATGCCCCGAAGCGGAAGATCTGAATCCGAACGTACTGTTGCTTGAGAGTTGTTCCCTGAAGTAGCGGCCGAGACAATCATACTGAGCTCGGATTCTGGAGCGCCGAAACTCGGGCCGACCTGGAAACCGTCTAACCTAGCTGGAGACACTGAGAAGCAGTTGGTCCCGGAAGTTGACGAAGGCAGGAAATGAGGGATACTAGAGAAGTCGCTGTTGTTACTCATGATGCCGAAAATGTTATCCGGGGTGGAAGGGAAATTGAACATTGAAGAAGTTAGGTTGTGATTGTCGTTCTTGGAGTCCAAGGTCTGAGTTAGGACCGTGAGGCCTCCACGGAAGTCGAACGCAATGTCTTGTGAATGGGTTTGGTTTGGCTGGGGTTGCGGCTGTATGACTTGGAGAGGGGCGGCATCGACGGAGGCATTGGAATCAGTTTGATTTTCAGGTAGCGGAGGAGGGACTACGGTGGCGGGGTGGTGACTGCACGTGTGCCTTCCGCGGTATGTGATCTCGAAGACAGTGGGGTCGTCATCGGATCTTTGCACTTGCTTGGTAGCCAAACAACCTTGGACATTCCTATGAGTGCACCTATAGTAGCCCCTGAATATGAAGTGTGGGATTATCAATGAGAGCTAGATATGGAGGCCAAAGAAACATAATAAAACTCATATCCACTCCTAGCCGAGCTACTTCTGAAGTGTTCAATTATACGTTAAACTTTGGTTGGCTAAGGAAGAAAAACGTGATAGCGACATAGAAAGCTGCAGAACTAAATAGCCATTAATAACTGAAAGCGTTCTCAGGCGATCGCAACGTGAGAAAAAGGTGGCTGATCATGAAACAACCTATTATGTATAGGATGATCATCGACACAACGAAAATGATTATGCAGCTAAATGATGACGTCTTTCATCCGGACCTTTTCAGACTAACTAACTTCCCATCTGATGAAAAAATGGAAGAAATCTGTCTAGTCCTATCACATAACACGGGGACAAGTATCGAGTTCCTTCCTTCCTTAACGTTTTCAAGGATGTGGCTTATCACAAGTCCACCGATGTAACTCCTTGGCGAAGATTTTGGACTAGGAGTGAGTGAGGCAAGATCGTGAAGTTGTTTACTCTGAACAAAGGAATAGTGTTCTAGGGAATCTTTGTGGTGATAGAGCTGAGAACTAGAGAATTCATCGTCTCTAAACTCACCGTGGATACTTGGCTCCAAGAATGTCCTTCTGACCATACTTCCTCCAACTGAATCCGTCGTCAAGTGGCCCTTCGAGTCCTGTGCCTGGAGCGACATGGACCCGCTTTGTCCACCGCTGCATCGCCTTTCTGCAACACATTTGGTTGCCGTCACAAATCATGCAACAATCATGTCCACATGCAAACATCAAGGGCATTGTCGTGCATGCAACAACTGGCAGAAAAACCATCACATGATTCACTTTAACTGATTACCTCTTCCTAGGAGTGGAACCATCATTAAGATCCCGGTCTGAGTCTCCTCCGCTCATCGGGCTCCCGCCGAGCGAAGGGGGAGACTCCGACATCCGGCGCGGACACCCTCCACCCGGAGCCTCCGCGTTGAGCATGGACAGCGCCTTATCGTATGAGGCCAGGATCCTGTGGATGAGCATTTCTTGGGTTTGATCGTGTGATGAAGAAGAAGACGATGATGAAACAGCTAAATGGAGCTGGTGTTGGAGTTGCTTGGTCAGCTCCCTGCCCTGTATAAGCTCATTCAGCAAGTTCATCTTTTCCCATTCTCCCATATTCTCCATGACTTCAAAACCTCAACGAGAACGTAAAAGACGACTCGGTTTTCAAGCTGTTTCTGACGCACAAAGGCTAGTTGCATCAGAGATCAGATGCTCTTCGAGCAAAAGACCTCGAGCAACAAGAATGCCAAGAAAGAGAAGGCCAGGAAGCATGCACAGCAGAAGCGGTTAAAACAGCAAAAGAACTGGCGATGGTTTCCTCACAAACTACAAGACCCTGAGATTGGCGGGAGCTAAAAATCAGATCCGGGCCGGTCTAAACAGATCTGAGAAGGGATTCACAACACGAGAAAAACACAAAAGAGAGAGACGGAACTTTCGCGTCTCGAACGGGTTCGGAAGAAGCAAGAAGATGATCCAAGAAATATCAGAAAAGAAGTGGAGCACCCTGAGGAAGGAAGGGAGACGGTGGCCGAGGGTGGTCATATATATGGGAAGCCCGTCCTTTTTTGATTCCAAACGAAGGGGGAAAACGAAAGAAGAGAAGAAGGGAGGGAGGAAGTTTGACCGAGAAATGGCGGAAGCCGAGTAAGATTAGACTCTCTATCTCTCAGATTTTCTTTAGTTAAGACCGGTCTTCGGTCATAGCCACAGGAAATACTATTCCCAGTCCAACACACCTAGCAACAGAGGGTTCAGTCCAACGGCTGACCGTTTCTCCTCCCCCCCCCTTCAGGAGCTGCACCCAAACAGTGGATCCCATGTATGAAAACCACTTTTCCCTAACACCCTTTTGAGAGAAAAACATACGAAACGCCCCGGGACCCTCGACCCGACTCGCGACATGGATTCGCGGGTCGATGCAGCGGACCGTGTTCAGTTACTCGATACGCTTATCCGGGTGCTTGCGAATTACTCTCGGCAGATTCGGTATTATACGGTGGTGGTGATGGTGTGTGGAATGAATATACGATGTCGAAAGGCGGTCAAAGGTCGGAGCTTTTGGCGATGGAAGATGGAAAAGGTGGAGAGAGAGAGAGAAAAGAGAGAAGGATGGTGATGACCGAAGAATCTTCAAACCTTGTTCCGCGTCGTTGCTACTGCCCCCCCGTTGCTCCCAACTTCCAAGCAAAGCTAGAGCTTCCCCACATCCATAAAAAAAAGAAATATAAAAGGAAAATTAGACAAATTAATAAAATAAATGCTCGAGAGAAAGAGTGCTAAAGAAATGGCGATGGCGTCATGCTGGCGCTAGGTTGGAACCCTCTGCTTACGTTGACAGCGATGGATCATGTCTAAAAGCGGGATGACAAAAACGACGTGGCGTTTGTTTTGGGCGCATGTGGGGGCCTCCCCTAAAAAAATTGACGTGGAAAGGAAAAGTTTCATTTCAAACCACGGATGACTTGGATTTTTAATGGATTTTATCTTAATCAATCTCATTTTGTCCCCGCTAAAAAGGGGTTCTCGTTTTGCCCTTTCAATTTGTTGAAATTTATGTCAAATTCACCTCGTATTGTTATTATTATTATCTGTCTTAATATCGGATATGTCAAACGTATTGACACGGGATGCAGGTTGTGTTGAGGAGAAAATGTTGGTGGAGATCGAATCGAATTTCAAGCATCGATTAAATGTTTGTATCATCGGAAAAGTTAGTGCTTTGAACATATGAAGATGACTCACATCAAAATTTATATTTGCAATATTAAATAGGAACCAAATTTTAATAGTTCAAAGCATAAATGAAATTAACTTAGATAAGGGTCCATCCGAAAAAGCACTTTAGTTGTCCCAAAATGAAAAAAAAAGAACAAACAAGAAAAGCCAAAATTCTCTCTAATTATTCTTATTAAGCAATTGTTCGAACTTAATAAGAAGATTTAGGGTATGTTTATTCTGGGAAAAACTTCATGATAAAACCAAATGCTTCTCATAAAATCATTTTCTTGAAAAATTATTTTCTCCTTTTCAAGTTAGGGAATTCATTTTCCTAACTTTAAAAATGCATATATACTTTGACTATAAATGATTTTTCATTGTCGGATTATTTTTCCAGTAAATTAAACGTGTGAAAGTCTAAAAAGAATTAACTGGCGAAATTTTTATTCACTTAAACAAACACGTCGATAGTTTCTCTTGTTGTAAACCATTGGTCTGCCAATAGCGGGGAACCGACCGAGCGGGTGCTTCTGCTTTAGGCAACAACCGCAGCACCTAAGTTTGAACGCCTTTTAAATTGTTCGAAAAGCACGTAATTAAGAAAACCATTAAAGTCTGACATAAAACATAAAGGAAACCATTAAAGAACTAAGCACTGGTTTAAAATACGCTAATCATGTCCGGGGAAATCCAATCTCGGGCAGATGAACATGGGGAGATGGGGTTGAAAATTGGACTTGTTCTATTGATTTTTTTAATCGCGATTAGGGTTTCGCTTAGCGAATTTCGATGCTAGATCAGGATAATTTGTGGGTCACTTCCACGCATGCACAGACAATGTTGTAATAGTTTAAGAAGTATCCCTCTATAGTATTGGATCTTCTTTCGTCAAGCTCAGGACTGTTAATTATTATTATGTGATTTTCCATATTCTCATGCACGTACTACTGTTGGCACGATCATAAATAAAAGAAACAATTTTTTTTAGGAGCAATTAACAATAATTATTTGTATGGTGCGAGGTCGAACAGACATCATGGTGTCTCCTAGTAGCATTTCAAGCAAGGGTTGACCTAATTAGAGTAACTAGCATCCACTTGTGCTCAGATTCTATTGAGTTCGCAATCTTTGAATGATTAGAGTATGTGATTAGAGCATCATGTATTTAACATTTCCAATTTGCAAATGCTCTAACCGGACACAATTGTCGAAATGAGTAGCATTCCGATATTCATAACATCTAGCTGTGGACAATGGTAACAAATATTTTACTTATCGGTGTATTTTTGCCCTAGATGTTTATTGAGAGAAAGAGGAAGTAGGATTTGTTGTAGTTTATGGATTCTCCCTTTTTGCAATAGAATTGGCCCTAAATCGAGCTCAAATCCTAAATCGATCTGGATAATCAAAGCTCACTCGAGTATTGACCTTCGAACTCGGCAAGTTAAAGGTTTGCAAGTTGCTACAGTGTTCGCCCTATCTCGTGGCTAGTTGGCTACCTTGACTTTGTTACTCACCGATGCGAAAATCAGGAACAACGATCATGTCTTGAATTGATGAGAGACGCCCAACTAGACAGTAATTAGTAAAGAGTATGGTGATACATGGGCCATAAAAAGAGCGGGACTCTATCACGAGTCCAAGAGTAACGCCACATGATTCCTCGAGAAGGCTCAAATATTTTTCACCACGAACATAGTTTGAACTCCCAATGTCTCCCCCACAACCTTTTGCTCTACAATTGGAATCCAGAAGAATGGAAGAATGGCTGTACAACTCTTTCGATATCAACCCAAAAACTCTCACCTGTCAATGGGGATTGGGATAGCATCTTCTCAACAAAAGCTTGAGCTCATTCTTTTACTTACGCACCACGCAAACATTTACATCCTCGTGCTACGACAGATTCAACATTTGCCTTTCTGATTCTCATCCTGGCAGCTAATCGATCGAAAGATGCATGATCGACAAGCTTAATATAAGACTTGCGGCCAAAAAAGCAACTTACGTGGGACCGATTATTGTTAACTGCTCTTTTTATAAAGTGTTCGAGAAAGCCATGAGATGGACTAAACTGAAGATTAGGGTTTGTCAAAATTTAAGCATAAATTGACCGCCCAAGACATGAGAGCTATCAGAGTTAGTGTCGGTTCCTTTTGGCTCTTTTGCATAGGATTTTTAGGAGTGAATTTAGTTTAGAAATTGAACCTTTAGATTTAGATTACCAAATTGTTTTCTCATCTTGAAAAATGCTCGGTTTCGGCTCATTGCTCTATGATAGTGTTGAACTAAAAAAGGTGTCTATTGTTAGCACATTGCTCCGATCGATTATTTTATTAGAATCGGTAGGCATTTTCAAGAAGGTGAGATTTAAACAAGTTTCCCTTTACAATATTGGATCTTCTTTTATGTCAAGCTCAGGACTGTTAATTGTTATGTAATTTTCCATATCCTCATGCACGTGCTACCGTTGGCACGATCGTAAATTAAAGAATCAAATTTCGTTTAGGAGCAATTAACAAGAATTATTTGTCTGGTGCGAGGTTGAACAGACATCATCGTTTCTCCTAGTTGCATTTCAAGCAAGGGTTGACCTCATTAGTGTAGCTAGCATCCAATTGTACTCAGATTCTATTGAGTTCGCAATCTTTGAATGATGAGAGCATGTAATTAGAGAATCGTGTATTTAACAATTTCAATTTGCAAATGCTCTAATCGAACACAATCATCGAAAGGAGTAGCATTCCGATATTCATAATATCTAGCTGTGGACAATGGTGACGATTACTTTGCTTTTCAGTATACTTTTGCCCTAGATGATTGAAAGAAAGAGGAAGTAGAACTCAAACCCGAGACCTAATAATGGCATGAGCTAGAAATTGCGTACCTTAAGCCGAAATCCTCAATTTAAAAAATTTGTTGCAATTTTTTTATCTTTCTTTTTTCAATAAAATTTACCTTAAATCGAGCTCAAATCCTAAATTGATCTAGATAATCAACTTCACTTGAGTACCGAGTGGCAAGTTGAAGTTTTGTAAGTTGCAATGTTCGCGTAGCCGCATGGCTACCTCGACTTTGTTACTCATCGATGCGAAAATCAGGACCAATGGTCATGTCCTGAACTGACGAGAGAAACGCCCAATTAGACAATAATTAGTAAAGTGTATAGTGATGCATAGACAACAAAAAGAGCAGGAAAGTCATCACGAGTTCAAGAATTCCACCACATGATTCCTCGAGAAGGCTCAAGACAATTTTTGCTGCGTACATGGTTTGGAACTCCCAATCTCTCCCCCAGACCCTTTTGCTCTATCTACCATTGGAATCCAGAAAATGGAAGAATGGCCGTACAACACTTTCGATTACAATCCAAGAGCTTTCACTTGTCAAAGGGGATTGGGCTCGTTCTTTTACTTAAACGCACAACGCAAGCATTCACATCCTCGTGCTACTACAGATTCAACATTTGCCCTTTCTGATTCTCATCCTGGAACCTAATCAATCGAAAGATGCGTGGTGGGAAATCTTTAGGGAAAGGCAAAAGACTTTACGTATCCTCCTCCACTCTGTACCTTTGCGTAAACACAAAGTCTAAGGTAAGAAAAGAAAGATGTGCAGTGAAGTTGGACCTGTTCAATGCCCAATCATTGTCACAAGGTGGGGTTGGGTCAGCAGTAGTACCATGATGTTTCCTTGAGAAAATCAACGTCAAAAAGTTGGAGCAGAAGAAGAAGAAGGAGGACAGGAAACAACAAAAGAGCGGAAGAGAAATTTCTCCTGGGAAGGGAAGCAGTTCATGGGTGTTGATCCGAGAGAAGCTTCGGATGCAGATGAACCGGGGGACAGCGAGCGACTTTTTTTTCTTTTTTGGGTCGAACAGCGAGCGATCGATGAGCCGCAATGTTGATGAGCGCCCTTCTAGACGCTGATCCGACGACCGAGTCATGGGACCAGCACGGTTCGTGTTGCTGAATTCCAACGCGTTGGAATTCAGGAACCTGTACCTTTCGGGACCATCTTTTTAGCGTTCTTGAATGAAAAGTGTGGGCAGGTTTGAAAACTCGGGTCAACGGCCAGAGATGGGTCGTTCGAATATGGTATTTTGGAAGTTGAAATCGAGGCGCTTTTTGGAATTTATGGAGAGGGGGGAAGATTCTAGTCGAATTTCATGCTTTGAATTGTGTCGGCAATTGGGTTAGGTTAGTGTATGAACGGTTGTATTATATATATGTATCATGTATGTGCTGAATTTTTCTTTTATATCCCATCTTTATGATTGACAAGCTTATTATAAGACTTACGGCCAAAAAAGCAAATTATGTGGGACCAATTATTGTTAACTACTATTTCAAATAGTGTTCGTGAACACCATTAGATGGACTAAACTAAAGATTAGGGTTAGTCAAAATTTAAGCATAAATCGACTTCCTAAGAGATAGAAGGTACTTTTGCTACGAATAAAAATCATAACTAGTATCAGTTCTTTCCGGGTTTTTTTTTCCTTTATGAGTGATTTTAGTTTAGAAATTGAACCGTAAGATATATATTACCGAATTGTTTTCTCATCTTGAAAAAAAGTAGAGTCAAAAGAAAATGCTCGGTTTCGGCTCATCGCTCTATGGTAGTGTTAAACCAAAAGAGGTATTTTTCGTTAGCACATTGTTCCGATTAATTAGTTTTGTCAGAATTGGTATGCATTTTCAGAAAGGCGAGTTTTAACCCAACATCATCTAGTGAGTCTCGACAAAGCCTGGTCATAGACAGGGGCATGCACATTCAAATTACAAAGTTTATTTTGATTAGCTCGAGCCTCCTCATTGATCATCTCTCCCTGCTTAACTTAGTAGACTTTGAGCTTTGGCAGTACAAAAGTTCGGGTGAGGTTGCCAAGCTGATTTGAAGCACTGGTTGCCCAAACCCAAGTCCAAGCCCAAGCCCATCACACTGAATATAACCCACTGACCCAATTGGAGGATCAATGAGCCTAGATGGGCGAGGAGTCTCACTCGAGTAAAAAGAACTACATTCTTCATTAATATCAAATAAACCAAATTCTAATTAAAGCTAACTAAGGCTCCGTTTGTTTCAGAAAAAATAATTTCCTCTTCCGACATTTGGTTCGCTTAGAAAAATGAGTTAACAGAAAATGTTTTCCTAGTCATGCTTAAATTCAGGAAAATGGTTTCCTTTTTAAAAAATTATTTTTCAAAAAAGGTATTTGCGCTTGGACTCAAAACTTTACACTTGGGCATAGAAACCCTTATGCTCATTCCCAATGTCCAGGACCAGGTTTCTGGCGGCTGGGCCCAAGTCTATTAAGGCTAGGCTTAGGACCCCGATGCTTGTGCATGGATCTCCAACACACATGCTTGGGTCCATCGAGGCTGAGCTTGAGCCCGAGCCCCCGACGCCTGTGCTTAGGTCCATCGAAGTCGTGCTTGAAGCCCAACACTTGGGCCCAGGTCCACAAAGGCTGAGCGTGTGGGATCCAAGTACCTGAGCTTGGATCCCCAGCACCTAGGCCCAGATCACAAAAGTCGTGCCTAGGTCCACAAAGGTTGTGCTCCGATCCATCGAGGCCGGGTCTGGGACCTGATGCTTGCGCTTGGGTCCATCAAGGTTGAGCTCGGGATCTAGGTGCCCATGCCCATATCAGTTAGGGTCCATCATCGGCCGAACCCGTGATTCTAGTGCCTATACTCGATTCCTCGACTACCCATGTGCAAGTTACTAGTGGTCGAATATTGTATGTCTATTTAGAAAAATCAAATCAAATTTTCATACCAAACGACGGAAAAATATTGTTGAGTTCATTTTCAAGTTTTAGCTAAGCACTGGAAAAAATATTGTCATTTTCCTAAAAAATGTTTTCCAAAATTGTTTCATTTTCCGTGAAACTCTGTTTGTTTCGTAAAAAATAAACGATTTAGAAAATATTTTCTTAAAAATAATCGCTTGTATCGTTTACAAAAATGAATGAACGAGAAATATTTTGATTGATCACGAAAATGTTCAGACATAGATCGTTGTCGACAATGAAAATATTTTCCCTATACTAATTATTCCAAGCGACACAAACGATTATTTTCAGGATAATATTTTCTAAATCATTCATTTTCCGTGAGACAAATCGGAGCATAATTCACCTCACAATTTCAACCGGAGCTAGCCTTCACAATCAAAATTTTAGGAGAAAACACGGGCGGAGGCAGCGTCGAAGTGCTATCGTCGTCCCCAACGAAAAAAATTGCGTCGGATTTGTTCACAGGTATGTAATCAAGAATCAGACAACATTTGTTTCGCACAACGCATATATCGATCGATGACTAGTAATTGAACCGGTGCCCCGACGGACCGAGTCTTTGCTAGTATTTCCGGCAACAATAGACGGAGTCGTTCCCTGTACTCACTAATTCATAGAGATGAAGCCCCATTAATTGCGCAAAGAATCAGAGTTATGTTTCTTCCACAAAGGCCAATGTTGCCTTCGCAACCATGAAAAAAGTCGAAACACCAAAACTTGTGAAATCTCATGCTGTAACTCCGGCCCCTGTACTTTTTGGCTTGGAACCATATGGCGAATGAACACGAAGCTGAGAACGTAATTAAAGTCAAATCACTTGATAAACATGGCGGACTTCGGTTTCTTGCGTTCTCGTCTTCTCTCGGCGAACCCTTCGCCGTGCTTCATGATCCAGAACCTCTCGATTTCCGCCGCGCTCCGTCCCGGAATCCGCCCGGCTATCAAGTCCCACCTGCGGAAAGAGAAAGCCCGCCGTTGAAGCCATGGCACGATGAGATAAACCGAGTCTCGAATCATGGAGCAACAAACAAAATTTGTTGACCAAATGATAACTTGAAATACCAAATTAGTACACTACTATGTAGCATGTGCGCATGCCTATGTTCTCCGGAACGTGCATAAGCCTCTCAATTTTGAATCAAATCTTTTGCATTGTACATTAACAGAAGCACATGCATGTCGGGAGCAAAAGAAGACAAAAGTTTTGAAATGTGTTTGGAGAGATAGGAAAGATAAAAAGAAATGCAAATTAGATTGGGAAAACACTTTTATAAAACGAGGGGGAAATTGTCCGGTCGATCCTAAACCTACCGTACGGATGCCGATTCAATTTTGAACTTTCTAATTTTGCTAATTCAGTCCCGAACCTTTACGTGAAATCCCAATATAGTTATTCTCGTCTATTTTCGTCGGAAATCGCTGAGGTAGCGATGTGCCATGGATGGCGATGACCGGACTGCCACGTCAGCGATGTCTAGCGAAAATTGATCGGAAAGACCACATTGAAATTTCGGGTAAAAGTTCATGACCGAACTAACAGAATTGAAAAATTCAGGATTGAATTGACATTTATAAAATACATTTACAATTGAATGGGTAATTTTCCCTAAAACGAAAGAGATCTATATTCACTTTAACCGGACAATATTTATTTTCGATTTGTTGACAATCATGTCGACATATATGAGACCAGTTGACAATTACTTTGATCATTTAAGTTACCTCTTATCTAATTTTTCTACAGCCTATGGACATGGCACGACATCTTAACAGAAAAAAACTTAGCATCTAATGAAATTCTCAAATGAAATCACGAAATCTAATTTGAGGTGGGATGGCCTCCTCCTTGATTGCTTTCTTTGAACACAGAGATATTATTCACCAAAAAGAGCGCTTATAATTGTCGATGCAAAAAACAAACTTCATTTGGTTATTGGAAATAGCAAAAATAATTGAAAGATCAAGAAAACAGTCAATCCACTCGAGAGGACAAAAAACGTGAGGCGTAAATCACCCGACACGCTCTATATATCTAAGTGGACGAGGGGCCAGGATGCGAAAAAGTGATCAGCAGTCAAGTCTTTTAAAATCATGGTGGGTACACACACGTGGACAGCCCACTTCTCATTTTCGTCCTCATCCCAATATATAATGGTGTCTTGAATCAAAGGCAAAAGAGAAATCCAATCTTAGCTAAGGAAACCCTTTACTTCATTCTAGTTGGAGACTCGCCGGAAAGTGGACGGCAGCCCGCACGACGACGAGTCTGCTCCCGTCGAGCCTCCTCGGCAGCACTAGCTCTAGGTGTTCTTTCCCCCTAGCCCCCTAGCCAGGGCTCGGATTGGCCTGGCCTGGCCTAGCCTAGCCTTCGGGTCGACGCCACTTGTCTATCACTTCTAACTTCTAAAGCATGTAAAAGAATTGATCTGTCTTGCGAAATTGCAAAGAGAGGAAGGACTTTATACGTTACTCGAAGATGGAGAAGAATTCGATGTTCACCTTTCGCCGACGAGCCTATGCATTCTGTGGATCAGGTCCTCCTCTTGCTCGGTCATGTTTATGTGCTCCCACTCGATGCTACTAACCTCTGTTGAATAAACAAGAAAGAGACCATTTCTTAGCCGAAGGAAGCAGCACATGCATGTTATCATGGAAAGAGAAACAAAGCAAGCAAGAAATGATAAGTGACTCGAGGGAATGCGAAATCTAACCTTCTGAATCGGAAGGTCTGGCGATTCTGGCTTGTCTCCGGCAACTCTTTCCCAAAGTTTCCATAGGAATTCACCAGAAGAAGAAAGAAGAAGGAGAAGGAGAAGGAGAAGAAGAAGAGGAGGAGGAGGAGGGGAGAGACAAAATGAGTGGGGTGTGCGTGCGGATATTGGGATATGGACATTTAGTAGTAGAATGAGACTTGCTAGAAATCCGATAGAGAAAGAGTATATATTGATAATATACAAGCGCCACAAAACCCGTCCCGCTCAGTGCTTCTCTTCCCAACCAACCATGACAGGCTTTGGCCTTATTGCCTCGGTTGACTTGTAGGATTTTGTAGACTTGTAGTTGACAATCCAATCCCAATCTATAGAGAGAGAGAGAGAGAGAGAGAGAGAGAGAGAGAGAGAGAGAGAGAGAGAGAGAGATGCCTCCAATGGAAATCTGCTTAAAGTTAAGAGTTCTTTTTTTTCATTTAGTTTGAGCTACTATACTCTGCATGGTCCTAAGCTGATATTGGTGTAGGTTGCATGATGAATCATGTTTGTCAATTAGAGTGTAATTCCTCCTTATACTAGGGTTCATTTGAGCTAGCAATACATCAGCATGATTCTTGACTTTATACAACCTCGAGTGATATATAATACACGACAAATCTTGTATTGCGGACTAATTAAGTGATCTTATATACTCGGCCTCATGATTATGTACATGGATCGCATGTGGATCCGACACTTCCCATCGTTTGCGCTTATCCCATCACCAATGTTCTGAGACCCTGTAATGGTTATTCCTAATGAGTGAGAATCAAAAGAGAGAAACCTGGTCTTCGTGGCTTGGTGATGCTTTTGCTTGATGACTGAATTCGGGCAGATTGATCTGCAGTCCGATTCCGTCACCGCGTTTCTGTCAAGCTTTCAAGCATCATTCGCTTGGAGTTCTCATTCGACTCTTCAATTTTGGCGGCGGTCATTTCTTGACTCTTATTAGATTTCACCGTCTAAATTAACTGATATATAGTTTACAATTAGATCACTCAGAAGCAAGCCAAAGAAGACCGCAGCAAGTTTCAATTGAAAACCAGACAAACGGGCTATAATGGCGACTTTAAAAAGACTGAGGGCTAGTTACACATCAGACCAGCTACATGACGCATAAGAGTTTCCCTGAATAAAGATAAAGCCAAGTGTTCTTCATTGAATATGTGACGAGACATGAACTGTTTCTTTCCCCAAAGTACAATGCGTTCTAGTCATGTTATGATTCGACGAAGCATGTGGCCATCCATGGTGGGACAGGAGAAGCCAAAGAAAAGAAGACACTAGCTTTCCAATGAACCAACCCCCCAGCATTTCCCGCTCCTCTAATTTTTCCCTCCCTTTATCAAGCCAGCTTGAACACATAGAATCAAGAAAACAACCATTAAACATCGTCTTTCTAGTGGTTCATCTCTTGATCTTCATTAAAAACAAGATTATGCTGAGCAAGAAAGCTGGGTTCTGCTGATTCTCCAGGAATGATAGGTAGCTATAGAAAAAGGGGGTCGAAACCATGATGAGACAAGAAGAGATATGATTAACAAATTGAAAAGGAGATAAGCTTGTGAAGTGAGAACTTTTGTAAGTTTCCTGGTTGTCTGGATGCAGTTCAACTAACAGTCTAGTTATTCATCTGAATAGTTTCAAAAAAGGGGTTCCAATCTTTTTATCTTCTGAGTCTTTTTTCTTTTACTTGGCCTGGATATGTGCCAGCTCTTAGAGCCCATCTCATAGTATAAAAAAGCTGCAGATGAGAAACTTTTGTCCCGTTTCTTCCTCTCAACTAATCCCTTGTCCACCCAGTTTTGCTCTGATGTGAATCGCATGACAATTGTCTGGACCAAAAAAAACATCGAGATGATACCTTGCTATGTTCTGTTTTTGGCCTATGAAGCTATGTGAAGGTCGTCTATGTCTTGCTTTTCAGCACACACCTATATCCTTTCTTGAAGTAGGTAGCTTTCTATAAATATGTTCTTTGCTGTTTTTAATATATGCTAATATGCATTCTTACTAGTTTTAATAATCTTCATTCGGTTTCTAGATACCTGTTTACGGGACCCTAACTTAAAAAGAAAAAGGAGAAAAGAATGTCGCTCACCTCGTAACTCCACAAATGTGGTTACAATGTTTCATGCTCACTTTGAGATCCTGTTTCAAGTTTCTTCTTAATGAGTCGTCAATTTGATGTAGGGAATCCTCTTATGAAGGGCTATGGTACCACGAAAAATACCAAAACTTGAATCGTGCTCTTGCATCATTGATCACGCCTAATCTAGAACAGGAACCGAAAAACATACATGTTAGCCCCTAGACACAATAGTAGCATCATATGGCTCGAACAAGATGGTTCAACGTCTTGATATTGATTAAACTTACAGGATTAAAAAGGATAAAAAATTTGAAAAGATGCGTTCCACTTTTTTTTCTCTTTTCTACCAAGGATGTTGTCTGCACGTAGCATACCCTCATGAGAACGACCCATTCATCAAATCGTCGTTTTGGGGGAGAAAACGATGGTTTTTGTCGGGGTTGGATGGAATTGAAGAATTTCGGAGACGTTCACGAAGCTTCGGCGGGTCATCGGCTTCAATCAAGGCTCGCGATTTCGGGGAGGGACCATCGCGATCCGATCAAGCCGAAGCTTGGAGAAATGAAATTAGCTGTCGAATGGACCCAATGCGAGTTAACTCGATTCTTACTGAACCCTAATCATGAGACATGTTCATTCACGTCAACAAACATGGATGGGCTTGAAGAAAGGATGACTCTATTCAAATTTCGTTTGTTTTGTGAAAAATATTTTCATTATTTTTTAGCATTTAAATCGTTTAGGAAAATGAGTCAGTGAAAAGTGTTTTTCTAATCAACCAAAGATCTAAACTTAAATTTAAGAAAATGAGGGCACGCAAACCCCAAAATTTGCTCCCAAGCCCTTGACAGAGGCCGGGCCAGGGCTGGGTCCGCTAGAGTCCAAAGAGGCAAGGGCTCGGAATTGTGGTGCCTGACCTCGAGTCCATAGAGTTTGGGCTCAGGACACCAGCGCTCGTGGCTGGGCCTAAGACTTTGGTGCCGTTGCTCGACTGCATGGCGCCTCAGCCTGGGTCCATAGAGGCCGGGCCCCAGACTCCAGTGCTTGTGCCCAAATCTCTAACACTTGGGCCCGGGTCCATTGAGTCCGGACTCAGGTTCACAACACCCTGCCCTGTGTCCATTGAGCCCGCACCTGAGTCCATCAAGGCTGGGCCCAGGTCTCGATGCCCGTGCTTGTGTCCATCAAGGCCGGGCCAAGACCTCAGTGCCCTTGCCCGAGACCTTGGTGCCCAAGCCCAGGATGACATCCATGCTCGGGTCCTTGACATCGAGTCTTAGGTCCATCAATGTTGGGTCCAGGACATCAGCGATTTCTCGGGTCGATTAAGGCCAGGTCGAGACCCCGGTACCCGCGCCGAAGTCCATGGAACCCAAGCCCGTGTCTATCAAGGTCGGGCCAAGGACATCGATGCTGGAGCCTAGGTCCCTGCCACTTGCGCACGGGTCCATCGAGGTCGGGATCGGGACCTTGAAGCCCGTGCCTTGGTCCCCGAAGCTCAGGTCCATGAGGCCAGGCCAGAGTCGAGGTTCATCGAGGTTGGACTCAGTACCCTAGTGCCTGTACCCGATTCCCAGGCTACCTATGCGTAAGTTACTAACACTCAAATAAAGTATGTCTATTTAAGGAAAATTAAATCAGATTTTCCTTTCCATACGACAATAGTTGATTGATTTGGAAAATATTTTTCTAAAAACTATCGCTTATATCAATTGGAATAATAAGTCAATATAAAACTTGGTCATTAATACAAACAATTTGTGTTTAAACATTTTTATGGGCAATAAATATATTTTTGGTTAATTCATTTCCGAAAAAAATACAAGCGATTATTCATAGGAAAATATTTTTCAAATCATTCATTTTCCGCGAAACAAACATACTATTATTTCTTTGTTCATTTATTCACCAATTTACTTTTTTCCGGGGTACGGGACACAATTATCGGTAGCAAGAAAATTTTCTTGGGAAAAAGTCACAAAAAATCCTAAACTATACCCATTGTGATATATTAACTTAATTTTTTTTGTGACATAAAAAAATTCAAATTATGCTCACTGTGATACATTTACCCTAAACTTTTTCTTATGACATAAAAAACCACAAACTTGTATCTATGCGGCACATTTACCCTCTTCCGTCATGGTTCCATTAGATGATTTTTTCAGCCAAAATAACGTTGTTTTTATTTCACTTAAGTCACGTGGGCGTCATATTAACACCGTTTGCTTTCTAATGTCTATTTAGGTAGATCTTTAACGGTTATTGTTAACAGAACTTTGACTGAGGGAAAATGTGTCACACAGGTATAAGTTTGGGATTTTTGGTGTCGTAGAAATTTTTGTTTGGTAAATGTGTCACGGTGATTATATTTAAGGGTTTTTGGTAGATTTTGGTCGATTTTCTTGTTCATACTTCTTTTTGTGGCCGTGTCTTCAAATAAATTAAATATACATAATCTATATAACGTACATTACATATTGATATAAAATGATTGGCATCGCTCTTTAATTTTGCTACTTGAAATATTCCCAGTTACGACATTAATCTGGCATAAAAGTGAAATTTTTTTGTTTTGCTCAACAAATTAAAAAAAAAAAGTTAGGAAGCATGAATTCCATGATTCAGAAGATAACGGCTTGGAAGCCCAGAGATGGGTCCATTGGGCCCAAACAGGCCCAACTTAGGAACACAAGATATTTGGGCCCATTTAAGAAAGGCGTTTGTTATCATATTAGAATAATGCAATGCTAACGTCAACAAGGTGCTCTCCGTGCGCTTACCGAAACCAAATAACTTCCCCCAAAACCACGATAAGAGAAACCTCTGGCCCTATCTCTCGCTCGCTCTCCACCTGAAACCCTCGATTTCGAGATTTGTCGCAGGAATCGGCGGTCGGCTCCGGGGATTTCACAGGTGATGATCCGATTCTCTCCCGACCTCTTTCTTGTCGAGCGCCGTTGGTTTCTGACCTGATTTCTGCGGTTCGAATTCGGTTTTTTGGCTGGGGATTTTTCTTTTGGGTTTGAATTCGGTCTTGTTCATCGTGAATCGTAAGGGTTGTTGTGTCCGAATGGACGATTTCGATAGGGTCGATGGAAGGATTTCTGTTTCCTTGTCCCTCCGTGTGTTTGATTGCGCTCGCCTGTCGTCCTTTCGAGAAGTTGTTGCGAGATGGATCGTGGTGGTGGGTTTTGAAGATGCATTGCGTGTGCAATTACCTTGGTGTCCTTGCATGTGATTCTTTGGGTAATACTCCTGGCTAAGAAATTTGTGACCTAAGCGGACTTCATGATCATCGGTGCGATAGAGATATAGGGGAAAAAAAGGGTCTGATAGGCCCTCGTGATGTGGTTTTCAGGAAGTGGTATTTGTTGTTGATGCATCTGTTGTGGTGTCACTGTGGTATCGTGAGTCGGAATTTGCATATTTGAAATATCTTATCTTTCGTGATGCGTTTTGGTGGAACTTTCTCGTGCGAGCATTTCCGGAGGGGTTAACATTACATGAAAGTTTGGAAGAATATTCCTACGCCAAAGGGTAAAAGGTGTCAAATTGTTGGGTTTTGGTTTGTTATTTTTTGGGTTGGGCTTGCTTAATTGATTTTCTTGTCCCCTTAATCAAGTGAACTTAAAAATACATATACTGAACAGATAAGTTGATTTGCCAGTTCAATAGATTGTGATGCATGTGAAGTGTCATTCAAGTATGTTGTCTCTGGAGATGCCGATCACTTGGTAGTTGGACCACAATTGCTTGAATTGTTAGTTCGCTATTGTTTCTTGGGAGCACACTAATGACGGAACACTGTTTCTTTGCAGAAGTGGGAGGGGGCTTCGTATCTTCTGTTGCTCTCTGGTAGTTTGGGTTTATTCTGATGGCATCAGTCTCTAGTCAACCACAGTTTCGTTACACACAACCCCCATCCAAGGTGCTTCATTTGAGAAATTTGCCATGGGAATGCACTGAAGAGGAACTAATTGAACTGGGGAAGCCTTTTGGCAAAGTTGTTAACACAAAGTGCAATGTCGGAGCTAACAAAAATCAAGCTTTTATTGAATTTGTGAGTGCTATTATCTAATCCTCTTGCTTATTCTCCCCCTTCACCTAGATTGTTTTTGCGATATCATTTACTAGCCTTTCCTTCCTCATTGTGCTCTATAGGCGGATTTAAACCAGGCGATTGCAATGATCTCATATTACGCATCATCCTCTGAGCCTGCTCAAGTGCGTGGAAAGACCGTCTACCTGCAATACTCCAATAGGCAAGAGATAGTGAATAACAAAACCACAGCGGATGTTGCTGGCAATGTGTTATTGGTAACAATTGAGGGCAGTGATGCACGTCTGGTCAGCATTGATGTTTTACATTTGGTAAGTGTTTTGCTGACATTTTTCTTGCAATTGTTGTGAGAGGTAAAGTTGCTTTCAGGATGTCAACATTGAGTAACATAGTAGGTTGTAGCTTGTCGTGTTCTAGTAAGCTTTGTTTGACATGAATGTCAATGAATTAGCAGGCCCCTTTCAAGGCAATATCTTCAATGGCAGCTTAGTGCATCGGGAGAAAGAAAGCATGTGTGTTTGTCTCCTTTCTCCTTTTCTCAACACACCTCTTCCTTCCTCTCTCTTCCCTACTCTTCCTCCTCAGCTACCAATTCGTGCCATTATTTAAATTTAGGATGGTTGCAGTTTGAATGTTTTACTTATCCCTTTTCTTTCATGTGTATGAGTGTAAGCGTCCACATGATTTGCTTCTGTTGAAAGCAATCACTGCGATCTTCTTGAAAGAAAAATGCCAAGAAGTAGAAAGATCCATTTTGATTGATGAATTGTCATTCGGTGAAAAAAGAAAAGAAATAAGTTGACACAAAACTATTATTACTACACGTGTTTTGTCTTTTCTGCTTTAGTTATTTTCTCCCTCTTAACATCCACATAGTGGACACAAGCAAGAAGCACGGTTGTTCTTTGTCACGAGTGCACTTTGTAGGGAATACTCTCGACTTCTAATATTTTGGTGGGTTTATTGATATCAAATCAAAGATGGCAGACACAATTCTTCCTTTGCAAAATGAAATTATGGTCAGATAATAATAGTAATGCTGTCAAAATGTCTTACATTTTACCTATGACGAAATTGTCAGCTATAAACAAACAGCGTTTACTCAATTGTGCATGTCGTGAATGTTTTATTTTGCCTGACTTTGTGACACATTCTGAGAAGCCAGCAAAAATTTGATACCTTTTGCCAATTTGTGAAAAGGGTATTTTTGTGCATAATATTCCTGCACCACGCTCGACCAACCTTCAAATTCCTTTCTCATATTAGAAAGCAACGGGTCTAGAAAGGTGAAGTATACAAAGTGTTTCTCTTGCATCAGAGTGATGTATTTCTTGTATGGGAGCTTGGCTGATCAACGACAAGAAAATGTGACTCAATAGGCATACAAATGACACATTCTCAACCACACACCTGATCCCTACATCAAAGAGTTGTTAGTAAGATTTTGACGCCTCCAGACCACAATGAATAAATCCCTTTGTTGTATGAGAGCTTTTTCCTTTTTCTCAATGGGAAAAATTTTCTGACAGCTCATCATAGGGTGTTCATTGTCTTGCAAATGCTTTAGCAGTTGTCCTTGTTATGTTTGGAGCACCAAACCTGAGATTTCGAGCATCATTTTGGCAATCTAGATGTACTTTAGAATTCATTAACGGATCTCTTGGTCTAAAAAAAATAAAACGCTACACGTGATGCTTTCAACTTTGGTACGTAAATGTGTAAATTGTCATATTTATCTCTCTGGGAAAGTGGTATTGTTTTACTGACAACATTTGAGTACATTCTGATGATCTGTCTTATAACAGTGATACTAAGGGGGGATAGGGGTTGGAATTTCTCTTTTGATCCAAGTAACTGTCTGTGTTACCATGCTGATGTCTTGGAAAGCTCATTGTTGTGTTTGGGGTGGCTGTGAACCTGTGACTTTTTAGCCATGGCTCTATTTTTGGAATTTAGCTTTGACTTTGGTTTGTTTGGATCAAATTTTTATTTCGATTGGATAAGTTTAATATTGAATGCCTAAAATTGTCAGTAGAAATTGTCGAGATTAATTTAAGCTTTTTCAATAGTACAACTAACTTAAATATCGCAGCCAATTGTGATAGATAATCTTCTTATACTGAACATTTTTCTTGTTAATTGGTAATGCAGGTCTTCTCAGCTTTTGGGTTTGTTCACAAGATTACTACCTTTGAGAAAACTGCTGGATTCCAGGTGACAAAATTAAATGGACTTTTTATAGGTTTTGTACTGATTTTATTATTTAAGCAAAAAACTCTTGACTAAAATCTTGTTCTTAGGCCCTGGTGCAATTTTCGGATGCCGAAACTGCTTCTTCTGCAAAAAATGCCCTTGATGGAAGATGCATTCCTAGGTGACGGTTGTATTAATTTTTTGACATGGTATTTAGTCCATCTGGAACTGGTACATGCTGCCCAAAGTCATACATATTTTGGCACAAGTTTTTCTCCTATATATTGTGTTTAACTATGATTGTTAAAATGGGAGAATAATAATTTCTAAGTAAGCCAAAAATCAAATTTCTCTAGTTATGGAGAAGCAGTTCTTAACATAGAGTGGCATGTTCATGTGCTTTGAGAATTTCTATTGGGCTGCGATAGCATACTCTTCTAGTGCACTCACATGAAGGTTACTGACTTACTTTCTCTTGATTTACAGCTATTTGCTTCCTGAGCATATGGGTCCATGCACCCTCAGGATCACATATTCAGCCCACACAGATCTGAGTGTGAAATTCCAGAGCCATCGGAGCAGGTGACTTTCTAATTGGGTTTTTTTTTATATCAATCCTTTGTTTGATGTCCGTTTCTTGACTGATTGACTGTGTATTGCCATGTTTACCTTGGACACTTTTTGTTTGTCAGGGACTACACCAATCCATACCTTCCTGTTGCTCCATCTGCTATAGATGGCAGTGGTCAGGTAAGGCATCGAAACTCAACATTTGCATTGTTTTAATCACACCCTCTGTTAGTATGAGGTGGGCTTAATATTTTGTCTGCCTTATGATTTGATTGATTTGATTGAACATTGCATTTTACACTGCAGTTGAGTGTTGGCTTGGATGGGAAAAAATTAGAACCTGAGAGCAATGTCCTTCTCGCATCAATAGAGAATATGCAGTATGCAGTAACATTGGATGTTCTTCACATGGTACTTTTTGTGATTCTGTCATCTGCATTCATGGGTGACCAATGTGTTTTCAAAGTATTACCCATTTCGCATGGTTCAGGTCTTTTCAGCTTTTGGACCTGTCCAGAAGATTGCCATGTTTGACAAGAATGGAGGGGTCCAGGCTTTGATTCAGTACCCTGGTTAGTAAGAGCAGTGAATTTATTCTGGATGAAGAATATCTTTCTTGCATTTGGGCCAAAAATATGCATGCATCTAATGAAGTGCATGTTTGGTGTCGCATCGCTGTCCATGCAGATGTTCAGACAGCTGTAGTTGCAAAGGAAGCTTTGGAAGGGCATTGCATATATGATGGGGGATTTTGCAAACTCCATATCTCGTATTCTCGCCATACAGATCTTAGCATAAAGGTAATCACATCTGCTGCCCCATGGTATGACTTTTATCTCGAGAAATTGCGACTCTCCTGCACTGTGGATATACAGTTCCTTGCTTTTGATACAAAAAGAAAAACTCCCTCTCCTGTATCAAGTTTTCCAGTTGAGTTTGGAAAGATGCCACTTCCAATTGACCATTTGATCAAGAATAATCACCATTTAAAGAGTCACTAGTATGATAATCACATGTTTTTGATTTGCACTTAAAAAGAGTTAAAGTGAAATCTGTTCCCAGTAGAAGGGGGAATGACGTGAAATATGTATACACCTGATGAATAAGGGACGGCGTTATGCTATTTGGCTGGTATAAGCTGTCTCACTCTGTGAAAAGTGGTCAAACACTCGTTGATGTCTCTGTCAACATGAACTTTCATTGATGCTGTTGACTTCAAATGAACCACATGTTCAAGGTTCTGCTCATCTCCTAGGATCCCGTGTTTCGTTTTTAAACGTGACCATATATAAGTTACACCTGTTTGCAGTGCATTTTCTGTGTCATCATCATTCAGGGAACCTGAACTCTCTTGTTTCCCTCGCTTTGAAAGATAAACTTTAGGTGCTAGCATGATTTAACTTAGTCGCTTTAACATGAGGCATTTTGTATAATTTGTTCTTATATCATGAATTGGTGGGAATTTGAAAATTGAAGCAAGTGTTCTGGCCACTTCCTTTTGTGACAATGTACTCATGTTGTTTTAAGAAAAAATAGTACGGAAGCCTGGTCATTTTAGTTAGGACAGTGCTAAAATCTGTTGTTTTTTCGCCTGTTATTCATTGATCATTCTGTGGGTAGGTTATGATTTATTAGCTTAGTGAATTGTTAGGACCGAATGGAAATAATGGTCTGAGTATTTTGCGATGCATTTCAGTATCAATGTTGGTTATATATAGCGCGTCATAATAATTTTGTTGTGCCTTTGTTAATTTGCTGATATTGTTCTCTCTTACATCTCGAGTTTTGAAGAGCAACAGAAGTAGGTGGGAGACTGATAATTGATTGATATGCTGACTATTGTTCCAGGTTAACAACGATCGGAGCAGAGACTACACAATTCCCAACACCCCGATGATGAATTCTCAACCTTCAATACTAGGGCAGCAACCGGCTTCAGCTGTTGGCGCTGCGCCTCAGCAGTATGGTGGACTTCAGTATGCTCAGGCTCCCGCTCAACCCACAATGCATCATCCACCCCCTGCAGGCTGGGGTCCGGTCCCTGCAGCTCAGTCCATGCCTATGCAAGGTCACAACCCACAGTACATGCAACCGGGGACCGTGCCTTTCCAGATGGGCTCTCAGATGGGCCCTGGAATGATGCATGGCCCGAGCCACCCTGGTTTGCCGCATCCGCCACCAATGCCTCCATATCAGTCACAATAGCACTTCTTTCTTTGCTCGGTGCTACAGGTGTGATGGCCCTTGATTGATGCAATTCCTGTGGGCCTGAAGCTCTCTGGTGGTATCCTTTTCTTAGTAAATTTTTTTTGGGGAGATGGGTGCGGTGCTCATGTTATAATTTCAAACTATGTTGGGGAACTGTAGCTTGCCATTTGATTCGGAGGTTTTAGATATTTACTTGTTCATCATAGAGACGATTGACTTTCTGCACCAATTCGTGAAACCTGTAAATGAGTTGGGTTGGATCTCTCTCTCTCTCTCTCTCTCTCTCTCTCTCTCTCTCTCGTGGCGGGATGAAGGTGACAATTCACACCGACGATCCGGTCAAGCGTTAAGAGGAACTGAGTTAAGACTGAGTCAAGCTGATATGCCATTGCTGTCATCTTTCGTTGGATGTGGCGAGTCTAATATTTGGAGCAATACTACAATATGAAACTAGTTACCGTCGTCCGATGATTACTTCTATGTTATGTTCTAACCATCGTTGGCTGGAACAACACCGCCTGTACCATCAAGGTCGACTGTAATCTATAAATATTGTCACAACCGCAGCAAGGACATACTATCAATGCCTAACCATTGCTGCAATTACCTCCGTTCACGGGACTCCTGCCTGGGACATTGCTGCCACCATCACCATCGGTGGTCGACTTCTACTCTTTAGGGAATTCGACGAGGGGAAAAAGAAAGAGTCGCGCATTTGTCAAGCACTGCAAAATGCTGTTTTGCAGGTTTTGGTTTGAACCGAAATGAAAGTCATGAGAAAACCATTTAGACGGAAAAACATGGTGAAAATCAGTGTGTCAAACGGTCTTCTTCACTTGAATCTCTACATATGTACTCCTTCCTCTCTTGTGAATTGTCTATATGTTTGTAGTTTTGTGGAATGCCTTAGAACATGATAAGGACGAAAGTTATTATAGAAAGATGCGCAGAGGCTGCGAGGGATTTTACATCCATGTCCCGGAAATCGGAAGTTTCCTTCGTAATATAGGTGTAACTCCAATTCCCTATACAACAAGCAAATGAAGATCTAAAAACCGAAATTCAGGTAACCTTCAACATGAGAAAAGTTGAAGCCATAGGAGCACAGGGTACTCATGTCTCTCTTTTTCAACTTTTTACACGACTAACAACTCATAGAGCCACAGGAATATGCTGAACTAAATATTCTTGAGCCAAAATATGAAAGAACAAATGAACGGTGAAGTCCTCTAAAACTTAAGACTGTCCCCATCTGTCTGCACCTTCTGTCATTTACATCGACAAAAAGTTTAGTCTTCATCAGTAGGTCTTCTGTTTGAGCAGAAGACCTACTGAAAGAAGAGGAAGTCTTCCCCCATCTAGCAAGGTGCGACAAAAACAAATGTACTTCTTCCGGGTCCTGTAGAGAGTAATGAGCCTTCGTATCCTTAGGTACCGAAGATACAACAATGGGACAACCTTGTCCCCTACTCTTTATTACCTGCAAAAATCATGCAAGACTACTCATTCAACATTCTATCATTGATGGAAATCTAGCCATTGCACTCAAAATAAGGGTTGAGAGCAGAACTTCATGATTTAGTGAATAGACTAGAACCTCGAAAGCGTCTTCATCAGTTCGGTCGTCCCCTATGTATAATGGAAAGACTTCCCTAGAGTTGCTGAGTCCTAAATTCTCAAGTAAATATTCCACAGCATGTCCCTTGTTCCACTCTATGCACGGTCGAATTTCCATGACCTGAAATTTTTGCAAGCGAAAGTCTATGGTTGAGCATACAAGTTGTGATGAAGAGGAAATGCAGTAACTTGAGGGACAAGGCATACCTTTCTTCCCCAAGTTAAACGGAAATCAGGGTAGCTCTCTAATACAGATTTCACCTTCTCCTTCAATACTTCGTGATCCTGCACATTGATCAATCAAGCTATTATTTCGTCGTTCTTCTTCATATGCTATTGCCAACCAGAGAGTACTGACGGAGCAAGAATGGCTCTGGTATATTGAAAGTGCATAAACAGACTCTTTTGTACCTCTTCTCTGACTTGCCGAAAGTGCACAGAGACACAAAATTTGTTATCCTCTACTCGGGCACCCTTTATTTTCCTGGTGTTTTCCTCTAATGTGGTGAATATCTGTCAAAGGCAAACGAACATAGTTGTCATCTACTGCTATTTAATAGGGACAAGCTCTCAGTTCCAATGGTCTTCAAAGGGAAAAACCAGGTTCCTCGTTATTGAACCGAAAAAAAAAACCAGATGAATTAGCTCACCTCTTGAATTGCGGGCAGGAACTTCTTTGCCGGTTGGAACGAACCTTCATTTCCCTGAGGGGCCAATAATTGCGAAATTAAAATTGATTGACTGAATTTTATGATAAGATTGTTATTGATGAGTAAACTATATGCACGCTTGTGAGTCTCAAGTACCTTTCGATTGACCGGAAGATGTTGCTTTCCATCAGATGTTGGCGGCTTTGGTGGAGCCATTATGTCCATTCCATGGCTTCCGGCATAGTAAACATCATCCAACTTTACAAACTCTTTTACCTGATAAAGGAGGAAGAATCACTATGATAAGCATGTGGTCCTATAGACTTCTTTTGGCATAGATGAACTGCATATCTTTTAGCTCGATGAACAACATTTCATTCACATACCTTGTCTCTACTCCTTCCACTAATAATAGCTGTTGGGAAATATTTTGAAACTGCACGTACAGCACTGCGCATCTGTAGTTGATGCAATACTAGTTAATAACAAGTGATTGGCCGAATTATTTGAACATTGTGGGTAAAGTGTGATTACCTCATCGGACATAAATGCAAGGTCAGGGTTATTTACAATGGGAGAGAGGGTGCCGTCATAATCTAAAAATACGACGATCCTCTTGCCCTTAGCCACTTTCATCATCCGCTCAAACATGCGCAATGCTGATGGGTGTTCCTTCTGTTTTTTTGGGCATTTGGAGGGAAAAAAGGAAGCGGACTTAGTTGTACAGTCATAGTGCAGAGGAAAACGGCTGCTTATAGTATAAAGAAAGCTTACCACCCAGGAGTTATAAGCCGCTTTGTGGTCAGTAGCTATCGGATCAGGTTGCTTGAATCTCACGCAACTTAGAGGATGATTACCCACACCATTCTCCTCAGTCTTAGCTGTGGGGACGACTTGTGCGAGAATGGTCATCATATATTTTCACTACTTGTTGGCAAAAAAGAAAGAGTGCACATGGAATTAATCAAAGTTAAACAAGAGATGCAACTACAATACTTCATAAATGCAACTACCGTGCTGTCTATTGTTGTAGATACTTATGACTGGTGAGTTACAGGTTAGCAAGCAGACCAGGCTAATGGGCTTTTATTACCAACGCCACACACTATGTAGCTCAGCCCCATCAAGCAACCAGTCCACAGGTCAGTGGTTTTTTTAATCTTTTGACAAACTTTTATGATAATTCGATCCAATATGTGCACGGCTAGAAGTAGCATGATGATACAGAATATTCAACTTACCTAAGATGTCCTTTATGTGCACGGCTACACACTTTTGCTTGTATAACTATACACCTGCAATTGAAACAGAAGATCTTATAATGAGGAAATTGAGAAGGGCAAATCCCATGATCCGATAATGAGACCAACTACTACCAAGTAAGTCAAAAGAAGAAAAAATAGGAGTCGTTCGGCTGAGATAGAGGAAAACAAAGCAAAAGAAGAGCGATGAAAATGGAAAGACAAAGGGAATTGAGATGTCCCAACTGTTCCTATGACCGACCAAACTGACTGCAAGTCAATTGATGTTGAACCCACGAACACTTTCAGAAAGAAGAACCTATGTATACTCTACAAGAAAGGGGAAAAAGAGGTGCTACAGCTAGACCAACACTTCTCACCAACGTGACACTGTTGAACACGATCCAGTAAACGTTCGGTGTGCTGGGTCCATATATCTCTTAGCTCAGTCCAATCACAAGCAGATATATTTCAGGATTGACATGTCAATACAATCTGGAAAGTAAGAGAAGGGAAAAAGGAACGCAGCACTGCACGGTCGTATTCCGTCAAGGGACTATTATTGTTGTTTTTTTCTGTTTCACAACGCTCCTTAGAAAGGCCAATGTATCATTATTGTTCCGTTACAAGTGTCACGAAACAATTCATGGGACATTCCCCAAGATGAGGTCGGTTTAACAGATGGGTCGCTTTCCAAAATCAAAGTGGGAATGGCTTTTGCAGAGAAAAGTACAATGTCGAGTGACTCAACATTACATGGATAACTGCATAATGGATGTTGATGCCTCTCTCATTGGGCAGGCGGGTTGCTGTCGGAGCTGATTCAGTTGATGCCGACATGAACAAGACTAACTAACGGGGAGTTTCATAATCTCAGCCCACAATGTATGACACGTTTAATGAATTGAAGTTGAAGGTGGAGTTTTGTCTGTCCACGTAGGTCCTACTTTAACTAACCAAAACGTCCCCTCCTAACTAATCTTTCCTTTCCACCTCACTTTAATTCTATGATCGACATCTCTCTCTCTCTCTCTCTCTCTCTCTCTCTCTCTCACCCACCCACCGTATATCATTTTCTAGTATTTTGAGCTTCATATAATTGTTAGCTGTGCTTGTGATAACTTCATCTCTCATGATATAATTCAATATGTGCAAGCTAAGTGAAGGGGATATCGCAAGGAACATGATAAGAACAAAGAATTTGGCTGACACGGACTTAAACTTGGTGTATAATTTTTCTTCTGTGAACGAAACATGGATGAGAAACAATGAAAGAGCGCTTCTGCACGTGATTCATGGGATGACAACCTGAACTTCGCGAAAGTGCTCTGGGGGTAGCTAAGATCCAGAAAACTTAACTCATGAACTTGATCCCTAAAGTGAGGTCATGAACCATGCATAGTGCAAGTCCAAAAGAAAGACAGGAAAAAGAACTCATAAGATTTCCCCCACATCTCACGCGGGACAAAAACCAAAAGAGCTGAATCAGAAAGCCTCCACTTGCCCCGAAACAAAACTACACGTGTATCCTGCGAGGCCATAGATCAACTCGTCTCCTTTCTTTAATTTCGATAAAAAAATAGGACTTGACTTTTGAAATCTGAACCCAGTCACCGGGTGTGAAAAGAGGAAAGACATGGAAAAAGCAGTAAAAGCAAAAATCTATCCTTCCGGGAAATAAAGTAAACAAGAACCAGACAGAAACACTTTTCACGTGTCAGCAGAAAACTGGTCATCCAATACGTCCCACACCTCTGGATCGCTGTTCGGTCGACACATTGAAACCCGGTTTCTGGAACTTTAAAGCCCACAGGAAGAAAGAGAGGCACCCACAGAACCCGACAACATGGGAAAGACCAAGAAGTCTACATCCCCCTTTCGAAGCAACTACTGGCCTGCTAAAGTACACATCTTTTGAGGTCGAGACAAGACATGCCTGGTTTGAAAACTTCGTGTGGACACGGAACACTGCTACAGAATAGTCATTGTATGGAGACGGTATTCTGGAAAAGTTGACTGATGACTAGTCGTAACTACTCGGCAACAAAGGGGGTCCAAAGTCTAGCGAAACTTTCGTCGGAGAAACTTAAGTGTGTTTAGGTAAGTATCTATGTCTTCAGCTTTGAAAGTTGAATCATGTAGGACATATTGGGAAAATAATGAAGTGAAACAGAGCACCTCTTGGAACAAATTACAAGTAGCTAGCATGCACGAAACATCTACCCATTGAAACTATTGCTCGAGACTCGAGCAATCATCTGTCGCATGAAACTACACACACCCGATCGACACAATAGGGTGTTAGAGAGAGTTAAACGTGCCTCAAATCGTGAAACGAGCAATTCTTTCCTTTGCTAGGGACTTTACGTTTTCAGGGCTAATTTTTCACACCGAATAGAATTGAAGAAAAGTCGAGAAGCCAACAGTAGATAGATGGAAAACATACCGCTCGAGAGTTAAATTAAGCATGATTATTTGTTGTTTATTATTCTTACGTTGATTCAAGTGAAATGGTGATTTGTGGGTACATGCAATGTACGTCGGTGCCGCCACCAAGCCGCTCGCCACACGTGCCAACATGCGCAGAGACCGTTTTTTTAGGTACTGGTCCCCCCAGAGCGCGTGAGCCCCACTTCCATTGGGCCCCACCAACCAACCGAACTACCTAACCGGAACCGAACACCGAACCGGCCGGGCGGGCCCCGGCAGCCCAATCCCCACCGCACACGTGGCGGGCCCTCTGCCGACAAGCCCCCCACGTGTCGCCCGACACAGGCCGTTCGGTCCGAAATCCGGGGGCCTTCCGCACGTGGGAAACCTATGTACTCGCGCTTTCTTTAGACTCTCTCTCTCTCTCTCTCCGCCCCTGCCTGAGGTCTGGTCAACTGGGCCCCCCGTGATCAGAACCGCACGCGGGCTCGGCTCCATGACACGTGTACGGACTACGATGCTCTAGACTTCTTGTCCTCCAATTCTTTAACAAAACAAAGCAAAGCAAATTATGGACTACTTCTTATATTCCCCATCAATTATTTGGACACGCCTAATAAAAAGTTCATGAAAAAAAGGGCACGAGATCTTCACAGTTTTGACAAGGCAACTTAGCAAAGTGGGACTCCATCTAATCTTTCGTATCACAGAAGATTAATAGGATTCGTATTGTTCACTAAAATTATGTAAAAAACGACTCAATCAATTAAAATATCGATCGGTCAAAGTTGATTTTCCGCGAAAAAAAAACCAAGGGCGCATTTTGGGTTTTGATTTACGAAAGTCAAACGTGCTGGGTCATACGTGCTTTGACGAAGCTTTTGTGATGGCAATTTCATGGTAATGATCCTAGTCAATGAACCGACCTGTGCAGTTAAGTGCTCGTTATATGAGTCTTCTAGTCACGGTTAGGGAATTTTCAGGAAGATTCGTGACGGACGACAGGGTCGCTCCACGTCGATGATGACGGAGACAAAGGCAGGAGAAAGGTCGGCAGCAGCGGCGGAGGAAGCGTGTCGTCCTCCTCCTCCCCCGCCTCCGCCAAGCCGAAGCTTAAACAGCAAGGAAAGGGCTAGCACGCGGATGTCACGCGCTAGCGAGTCGAGTGTCGGGGAAGACGAAGCAGGAATGATGCATCACGACGCTAAAGAAAGAGGTGGGACGAAACGATCGCCAACCGGTTCTCGTTCTCTCCGCGGTCGTGCTGACACTCGTCACACAGTCGCTTTCATCACATTAAAAAGAAAGAGAAAGCAAGCAAGCAAGCAATACGAAGAAGAAGAAGAACCGGAAGGACTAAGCGCGGGTTCAAAACTAAGATCGATTCTCCATCAGAGCTTTTACAGAAACACAGAATAAATGAACGAGAAACTCGAGATCGCGCCCCAAACACATAAACATTCAAGACCGTGACAGAATGCACAGAGAGAGAGAGAGAGAGAGAGAGAGAGAGAGAGAGAGAGAGAGAGAGAGAGAGAGAGAGAGAGAGAGCACTCACAGATTTACAATGCTCGTGGTCGATGACTAAGGCCTTGTTGCGCCGCAACTCAAGAAAACCTCGCGAGAGCTTTTTCGAGGGAGAGAGACAGAGACACACAGAGAACAGAGAGAGAGAGTGAGAGAATGTGTGGCGTCTGTCGTGTTTACTTCTATGGCTGGTTTGCTGCGTTCGATGGTGCTTCGGCGATGAGGGAGATTGGTGTGAGGGAAGTAACGTCAATTTATAGAGAAGGGAGGCAGAGACAGAGGAAAGGGAGGGAGGAGACAGGAAGGAGGGAGGTGTCTCTTTGCCGAGAGATTTCAGCCTTTCACATCTTCTTTTTCTTTATTTAATTCGATAAAGTTGCTTTTTGGGCTCTTGGAAGTGTCGCGCGCAATTGACCAAAACAGCCTTTTCCCGGCCCTTTCCTTTTGTCCCTACGTGTCAAGTTTGAACCACGTAAAATACACGTCGGAGCACATTAGGAAAGGCCCTGGGCCATAGATAGAAAATAATCTGTGCCAAAGAGTGTGTGATTAGTGTGAATCATGAACGCGCTCACTTGTAGTAAACTAACCAAATACGCTGTGATAGTCCCTCCTCCGGTCTCGACCATTAAATGATTCATGGATAGTTTTTGTCTCGCGCGCCGCCGTCGGTGAAGGGAAATCAATTTCCACGGATGTTTTAAGGATGATCATAAAACTCGCACCGAAAGTTTTGGGAAATTGCAACTAGTTCACATACGTGGTTCCGTGCCGATACCTGTCGATAGACGTATCAAACGGGTAGATCGGGTTGGGTTGGGTTTAGGTCGGGTCGACAATGGTCCGATCCAAATGAACTCATTTAACCCGTTTTGACCCATTTTCATATAATGCAAATCTAATGATCCATACCTTATCCATATCCGCTCCGATTCATATTGCTAAAACACTTTCATATTTAACTAAATCTAGGAAAACTCATACCCGAACTAAAATGAGAGTGTAGAGTAAGTAAGCGTGAGATTGAGTGAGGACGGGAGAGATAAGTTGAGTTTAAATAAATTGTAAATTCATTAACGACCCATTTATGGATCCATATTATACTTATACCCATTTATGATTAATTTACTAAATATAACTAACCAATTTATGATCCATTTACTAATATATGAGTTAAGAAATAGATTCATGATCCATTTTGATAGATCTACCTATCGAAAGTGATTCTCTCATAACCGATACCGAACAGAGAGTAATGGGTCCGCACGAATCGGCTAATAGGTGCTATCCATCTCTGATGCACTTTGAAGACCTTGCGAGGAAAAAAGAAGGAGGGTGTCGGGAAGTTTGCAATGCGATTTCTCGCTTTCTCTTTCTTTTCTTGCCCCTTTCGGGGTGCAATAATGGAGCTTTCTCGTGGACATGTATATTCTACTTAACATAGAGATGTCATCTACCTCTCATCAAATGGGTTTTTCTTTAATGAGATGCAGTTCCAAATGGGATCACATGTAATCAGATTTCTTAACATAATGAAGTCATGACGATACCTTTTGCTAGCCAACAAATCTCTAGACAATTTGTGTCCACACCGGAAATCTCTACCATCCACAACCTAAGTAGCACCGACACCTACATGCGACACGACAAGAAACAACATACCGACACGTCATTTCTAAAAAAATATAAAATTCCGACACGTTGGGACATGTTATATATTAAATAAATATTTTTATGTATACATGATAAATTATCAGTTTTATGATTATTTCAATCAAATTAATTTGATTCAAATCTACAAATAAATAAAAAATAAAAAAAGAGTGTCGGACGAGTGTTGGTGTCTGACACGTCCGACACCTGTCCAACACGACACGGAAGCCTCCGGAGAGTGTCTGTGCTTCCTAGTCCACAACCATGTTACTAACCACTGCTCATTATTATGCTTGTTGCATAAGAGCTGCTAATGAATCATGTGATTTGTGCAGAGCTCTCAGCCGATGTGTTTAAGCTATACCAAATCTAGATTCCTGTACAAGACAAGAGGGTGACTAATGACTATACTTAGTATCTTCATTAATTATGACTCTGGATTTAGCTTTTTCTGAAAAGATTCTGCTGGCATAAGCTCTTTTTCCCTTCTCTATTAACAAAAGATTCTTATCCCATATCTCAAAAGCATTAAGTTTGATCAACTTTTACTCCCTTACTCTCCTCTACGTCCACTTTAGGGTTTGGATTCAAAAGAAGAAGGAAATCCACTGTCCCTGGTCCTGAATCTAACAATCAAACTTGACAGCTCCATGTCAATTCGAAATAATGTGGTCATCTGCTGTGGTCGCATGGTCTTTTTTTGCATGAACTTCACGTACCATTCCACGTCAAAAGTGTTCGACGGCTATTTCATTATGTGTTATTCCTTTGACAGCACAAATACGTTTAGACCCAACAACAATGTGGAATGGGAAACAAAGAAAAAAGAAGAAAGCCACTGTGCATGTTCAATAGCCAATCTTTTCAATAGTACATGTGATCTGGACTAAAAGTTATACATTTTCTTGCTGTTACACTTTAATTATTTAGATCCTCTCTGTATTTAGGGAGCGAATGGACTTCTTCAATCTATCTTTTTGAGGGTTCACATCATCATTATCCCACTCGATGCCGTCGTCTATCTCTGTCGTTGAGCTTACCTATAAGCGACACCAACAGACTGTTTTGTGCCCTCCTCCTTGCTCCTTCACTTTACTGTGACCTCTCCCACTTCTGTCTCTCTTTCTCCCATTAGCGCGAGAGCCAACCACGTGCAACCCTAGATTGACGCCCTAGACTAGCAATGTGCGCATGTTTTGTTCACTGCTTTTGTACGAACTTGGTTACCCCAACAACAGACCGAATAGATTTCATTTATGAAATTGTAAGATTCAGATAAAGCCCTTCCCTTTGAATGAAAAAGAAGGGGAAAAACAACACAGCAATTGCATTGGGCAGGTTGTCAGATAATGTTGACCCAACTGAAATCCCCCACCGATACGGCACAATCAATGCACATTACTTACAACGTCTAAATTCACGAGAATCTGCGTTAATTGTTGTTCCTCACAATAGGAAGCACTAGATACAGAGAGACTTTTGGGGAAGAGATGCATATGAGACACAAACAGAAAAGCTTGTCTCCGTAACAACCGATGCAAGATAGGCATCTGTAGTTGGTTTCAATGTCGTCTTGGATTTGAATACTTGGTCACATGTAAGAAGAGGACGCCACATGTGAATTGACCCGTGGTTATACTGGTGCATAATTCCCACATTATCCTGAGAATAAGAATCGAATTCAGGATTCCAAGCTTTTGTTTCATAAGGTACACCATGCATGTCGGATATCATTACTGCCCTAGACAGAATGGGATTTCATTATATTCATTTGGGTATCACTAAAGATACTAAATCTCCACAGAAGCTTTCAAAAAGAATAACTTCACATTGAATAAAATTGTTTGAAGGGTAAGGGCCATAATTCATCCGACACATGTTACTTTCTTTTCTTTTAATCACGTTATTCGGTAAACGATTTCTTTTAAAGAATATTACATATCCGGACCCCTTACAGTACTTGATTAATGCGATCGGTTCATCACACTTCCCACATTCCACAAAAATCGAGTAATTGTAACGGTATTGCAGGTTGATTTGAGAAATTTACTGAACAAGTTTAACTAAATTTTTACCAAGGAAAAATGGTTTACGTAAACTTTCGCGAATTGGCTAGGATCCTCTCAATTTTAAAAGTCAAATCCTTCCGAGATCATGATACATCAAGGATGATGGATCGTTGCTAGTGACACCCATTATGCGATGAATGTGGGTAATGATCACAACATAGTAAAAACCGAATTTTGTTATTAAGAGGGTCTCATAATCCCACATTTCATGTTACATGTGACGTGTATCTTGCTTCAACGTTTTCTTACCACAAATCTACAATAAAAAAAGGATCTCATCTTTAATTGAGTCAACAGGTGTCTGGATCAAATTGATAGAGAATTGGGCTACCGATTTTGAGACAAAAAATGATCATATCGGATCAGCTGGTGAATGAGTTTTAACGTAGAGCTCACTCTACCTAGCATACAGACAGACCTTGTATGTCCAAGATCTCTCAATATCTTATGTGAAATTAAGCAAAGAGCGAAGGGAGACCGACATCACACCAACATCTCTTTCCATAAAAGAATGTTTGCGATTGCCACTTGCCAATGTAAAGGGAAGACCCTCTTTATCTGGTCCAATTAGGTGGTGCTTGGGTGAATATTATTTTCTTGACTTATGGTTCTGCCTCCTAATTTTTAATTAGACGTGTCGTTTGGCAGTCAAAGCAAAAGTTGGTCTCCTCAAATCATGATATAGGAAAGTTAGATTTGGCCGGCTAAATTAATGATAGAACCATTGAAAACCAAGTCTTTGCACTCCAAAAGTCTGGACATCCCCCGGCTTAAATTTGAAATATTACCCAAACCACTCAACCAATAGAAACTATCATGTTTGTCATTAAAAATTTCATGCGAAGTTTCGCAAATTTAAAACTTTGAAATTGGTTTTTTTTTTCCGACCATCACAATTCCATGCTCTGTCTTGAAAATCGACCATCGAGACCATGCTCACCGTTGTTTTGTTTACATGGTAGGTAATATGATTTGTAGTATGGGGAAGTATGATCAAATATACCATGTTGAATCATATTACTTTCTTTTTTCTAAACTAGACAATACTCATATTTTACTCATAAAATGACACTATAATTCATATCTTTCGTTAACAGTGCATCTTAAACACCCCTTTTGTGTCGTAGAAAAGAAGAGGACAAGTCGTTGTCTTCCTTTCCCGTTAAATTCCTCGAAATGGACTGAAAGGGATTGAAGAAATTGCCCAAGAAACTTCTCAAGAGTTTCACTCTTGAATCGTGTCGCCGGTCGGGTTTCACACGGCATCAATCGATCAACGTGTTGCAACCCTATGATGCAGAAGAGGGTGAATCTCCGCATCGGGGCAAACAACCTGAGCCAACCGGTATCTTCGACCAAGACAGCACCGTGAAATTAGCGTCAAACACGCAAACCACTTAATTTAATCTCATACTTTCATCCTAGGGAAAAGTGCCAAAAAAGTCCTAAACCTTTTGCATTAGTGCCAATTTAGTCCTAAACCTTTTTGTGGTGCCAATTCAGTCCTAAACCTTTTGCATTGATGCCAATTTTGGCACTTTTCCCTTCATCCTATGTTCTGTCAGTAAGGAAAAAACAATATA